AACGTGGTTATAAGGGGCAGCAACGTCGAAAGGCTCCATCAAATACGCGTTGATAGGACTCCCGTTATTTCGACGGTCCAGGAACACTTGGATATTCGTGAGATGAGCTGGGTTGTGCCTTAACACTAGGAGAGTGCTGTATTACCTGTAGTTCCGTTGATGGTCGAGTGACTCGAGCGGGTGCAAGTAAACCTCCATTTATCCCTGCCGTATGCAAGAGCAGCTCAGTGGATCTTGCTCGCTTTAAGGATTCGTTGAGTATCATGTCTTTCTTTCAGACTTTTCGTGAAAAGCTCTGGCCATCGAGTCGGTGCTCTTCCTGCATTACGTTTAGCCCCGAGGAATCCAGTCACTAACTGCTCTTGTCCATTGGTTGTCATTCATGCGCGTTACGTGTCCGGCCTACCTTATCCTCGACTGTTTGGCGTACAGAACGGCATCTTTGATTTTTGATCGTTGACGTAGGTCGGCGCTTCCGGTCGCTTCCCTTACTTATATGAAACAGAATACTCCTATCATCGTCCTTTCGACTGCGCGTTCAATAACACTGAGTGAGCTTTCATCCTGTTTACGCAGCGACCGGGTTCCTGATGCATACGTTTGAACAGGAAGCACAGTTGAGTCGAAAAGCTGGGCACGGAGCCAGGTGTTCTTTGTCCTCTTCACCACATCCTCGATGCTCTTGAAAGCTCCCGAAGCCACTCGTTTCCTTCTACTTAGCCCTGGAGCTAATCCGTTCAACACGTTGATTTCTTGACCTAGATAGACATAACTGGAGCTTTCAGAGGTATTCGTTCCCTTGAGCGTTAATGGGGCATGCGAAACCAATTCGTTCTTCTGGACCATCGTTTTTGTGAGATTTAGCCGAAGACCAATCTTTCCACAGGCTTTATCAAAGTCGTGAAGCATACGTTCCGCTTGGCTAATGTTTGGTGTGATAAGAACGATGTCATCAGCAAAGCGAAGATAATGTAACTGCCTACCATCGATTTTCACTCCCATATTATCCCATTCCAATGTTCGCATGACGTTCTCGAGAGTGGCGGTAAATAATGTTGGCGAGATGGAATCGCTTCCCAAACCCTCCTTTGACGTCGATGTTAATATAGTTGTGGAAAGGTGATATCTTGGCTGCGAAATTTTTGCACAGCTTACGAAGAATCCTTACGAACTTAAAAGGGACTCCTTAACTATCAAAGGCTTGCATGACTGCTTCTATTTCAATTGAGTCAAAGGTCTTCTTCAAACCGATTAAAGGGAGACAGTGCGGTCTTTTGCACTCTCGCGATACTTCAATAAGCCTCGTTATCGTGTGGATGTGTTCCATAGTAGTAAATCCTTCTCGAAACCCTGTTTGCTCACATGGCAGTCCTTCATCCAGTGTTTTGTCAATCCTGTTTAGGACGACTCGATCGAAGAATTTGGAGACGACAGACAACGAGCACAATGGGCGATAGTTTCCGACATCGTTTAGGTTACTCTTCTTGAACAATAAAACGGTTTTACTAGTTTTCCACTAAATAGGGACCTTGCATTCAAACAAGTAACGTGGAAAAAGCCGAGGAAGTGTGTTTACGAAGACTGGAGGAAGCTTTTTCAGGTGTTCTGGTCTTATCCTATCCGGACCTGGAGCTGTTCGATTCTTCACCGACGAAATGGCATGTCGAATTTCGGAAGGGAGAACCGGTGGTACAACATATCCATTTTTCTTTATTTCATATGACGAAAAATGGACGTGGCTACCGAAGAGATCTGAGTACTACTCGAGAATGGCTTTCCCCGCTGCTTTTCTGGACGCTGTATTCCGTCTGGGTGTCAGAGTGCAATCGTCTTGGTCTTGTAATTGGCGAAGCTTCGGTGGGCTTTACGAATGCTTTTCCCAGCCTCTGCAGCTTCGGCCATTACTGCTGCTCTTCTCCTTCTAAGATCATCTTTTAACGCCTCTCTGCATTGCTTTGCAAGTTCGGACGTTAGCTCGCGGTTCCCTGCAGTCCGTGCGATTCCACGCTAGCTTATCAGCTCAAGTGTTTCTGGAGACAGACGTCCCTTGGTGACTTTCGAACTCCCGGCTTTCATAGCGCTAACGTGAAGACGTTGATTGAGCCGATCGTATTCTTCGTCGATGTTATTGACAACGGTATCTTTCCAACAGCCGATCAATGAATTGAATAGATCTCAGCTTGTGGTGATTCTGAGACCTCGGTTTTTGAATTTGTCCGCCTTTTCTCCTTTCCACGAGAAATGGAATCTTTCACGAAGGAGGCGATGGCTTGAAACCGTGTAGAATTTTGGGACAACAGCCACGTCAGTTAGGCAAAACCTTCTATTTACTATGATATGGTCTACTTCGTTATAGTACTCTCCATTGGAAGACTCCCACGTCCAGCGTTGAGGGTGGGGCGGGGCTTCTGGAATTGCGAGTTACCATGGATTGTCTTGGCCGCCTTGATAAACTCAAACAATCGCTCACCCTGTTCGTGCGATTCTAATCCGTGGGTCCCAATGTGACGTTCTTTAAACGTTCTTCTTGGTTTAATCTTGGCGTTGAAATTTCGAATGATGACCTCGAAGAAGAAATGGTCTTCTCTGTAGGAATTTTCCAACTCCATATAGAACGCTTCGACTTCATTTTCGTCATAGTTTGATGCCTGCGCATAAACGACGAAGATTGTCAAGCCGGAATTGATCCACATCTTTTTCATCTATTCGGGTTGTTAGTTGTTCGAATAAATCAATGTTCATGGACAAAGTCGTGTTGACGAGAACGCCAACGCCGCGACTTCTCCGCTGTCGCATGTTCCGAGGAACACTTCTTCTTTGGTGTCACACACGGCGTTGAATGGGTGGCGTCATCTTGTCTCTGCAAGGCTGATGACAACGTACCTCATCCTTCTTGCTTGCATGAGCAAGTCTTCTATGGAGGACTCGGATGCAAGTGTACGTGCATTGTAGGTACAGATCGTCCCCATAGTTCTTTGAAATCGAGGCAGCTTCCATTGGCCCTGACATTTTAGCAACCTCTCCGTACTCGTCTTACCCAACGCTGCCGAATTGCGAACTCTTTCGGGGCAGGGAAATGAGGCCTGGTTTTTTTTTTTACTGTTTTTAGCTTTTTCATACCCACGTATAGCTTGTTGGGCTCTGAACGTAGGGGCTGGGTTAACTCACGGGTAGTTTGCCAGACTCTCCCAGAACGGACATAGATCATGTTTGTTGGAGACGACTCCTAACCGCCTCCAATACACTTCTCTGTCACTTGATCGCAGGGTTCTTCCGAATTGACTCGTAGAATACAATCTACCCAAACTAGAACGCACCCACACACGCGTGCATGAATGCTTTTCGTGAATACAGAAAGTATGTGCCAAATCGGCGCGGCAGAAACAGGGAATCCACCCTTTGGATCCACCTGCGTCTCAGGTAAGCAAAGGTCGCTTTTGGTCCGCGATTAACCCCTTATCCGCCGCCTGGGGACCCGTTACGTAGCCTTGCGACTAACCGGGTACCGGGATCCTCATTGAGGGAGATCCGTAAGTGAGCACTAGGGTTAAAAATCATACTCTGTTATCCATTGATCCATATACACTGCTAATAACGAGTCTAACCTTGAATAGTGGTGGATCATTAGGTTCGAGATCCTCAGTGCAAATCTCATAGGGATTGATGAGGGTGCAATAAGCTGTTTTGTTTTCAAAGCGATTAAAATTTTAGTTCTATGATTCTTCTTTTTTTGGTTATGGAGATGTGGTAGAGTGCAACAAAGCTGACGTTTCCAGGCTCTGAAGAAGGCGAAATCCTCCCAAACGTCAACTTTTTGTGAGTAAAGATTAAAATAGCATTCCCATGTTTGCTCATCAAGAAAATAGTGGATAGTTCTACGTTTTAAAAGAAATATGGTTTTTGCGGTTATTTATGTAGCTAGTTTCTTTTCCAGAAAATATATTTGATCCATTTTTTTCTTTTTATTTTATATGACCCACCTTCACGTCTACAATCCGGTTCTCAGCACTTTTCACATTCGATTCGTTTCCTCGCATCCATTGTTCACGAAGATTCTTCCAACTTTAAGTGTTGCTTCGGTTGCTGTTTAAGGATTTTCATTTCATCTTGGATGTCTTAGAATGCTGACCGAGCAATTCTTCCTGGAGTCCTGAGATAGGCTGGTTGGAGCGTTCCCAGTTGGATTGCAGAGAGTGATTTTTTCCCAGACAAGTCCGGTATCAATTTTCCGACCCCGGATGGATGAGAGGCTTGGTTGGCCTGGAGCGGAATCGAACTAGCACCATGCTCGTGATGACGGAGATCACAATCACTATGTTCTTAAAAATCAGGCAAATAAGTTCTTCTGTGGTCTTATACATTAATCTTCTATAGAATTGACTTTTAGAAACATTAAGTTTCCTTGCTTTTCTTACATCCGTTATACAACATTCTTCCTGTCTTTTATCTTTCTTTTACCACTTCTTTACTAACCATCGAATGAATATTTTTTATTGGATCACATTTTTTTTCAACGGCGAGGCCTTTGTAAGAGGTGTGGATCGAACCAATCAACCAGTTTGAGTTCGTTTCGAACTTTACACGACTTTATAATCTGGTAGCGTTCCAAAAACCAAATCAAAAAACGGGAGCGAAAACTGAAGAGACTGAAACGATTTTAACATGAGGATTGATAAAAAAGATTTATTCAGCCGAATAATGTTACGACGTCTTCGGGTCCTTCAGAGCCAATGATCCGAGTCAAGGGTCCACAGTCGTTCGCCTTCCAACTCCAAAACGAATGTGAAATCGCTGTGATGATTCACTAGTCGTCGCATGGAATGGGCGTCTACAAAAAAGAATTAAAATGGATATAATGCAAACTTCGAACAACAACTGCCAACATCAATGTGTTTGTATGATGGACCGTACTGACTAGTATCAAATACTAAAATTTCTACCATCTGTACCTCTAGAAAAATAGAAAAAATCCTCTTCTACATTCCCTTTATGTTTTCAGCTCCTCAAGTTCTCTCGTTATCGAAAAATCATCGTCAGTTATCAAAAAATCACCAGGTCCACAACGAATATGAAATTAGGCGCTGTAACCAATGTGTCAAATCCTTTTTGCAATCGATTTTCTGATATTTTTGGGAAATTATTTGAGTACCAATGGATAAGAACTACGGACTAAATGTAGGATGCAGTACGGGTTTGGTTAATGAACGAATGGTACCGAAAATATAAAGAGGGAACTGAGGAAGTGTTGAATGGGAAAAAACATTGACAGGTAGAAAAAGCCTGGAAAAAAATATTACAATGTTTTTGTTCGTAGATTTTAAAACAATATTTCAGGTACTCCGAAGGTAATTTGTGAAGAAAACGACCTTGCCCTTGACATCGTCACATCGAAACCATTTCAAGGCAATGTATTCGTGAAGGTATTTACGTTAAACGCTGAGTGCTTAGATATAGCCGTTAACAAATCAAATGTTTGATTTAAATCTCCAAACTATGATTATCCAAAAATCAAAAAAAAAACTGACGAAATAACAATTTCTGAGAAGAGGCTGACAGAAAGTCGAAGAGGAGGAATCGCATGACGTGGTGGTGAACACCTTAGCCCCCGAAAGAGGGTTCGGGTAGCGGGTTCGATCCTAACCGCAAACACCTGTGGTCCGGAGTTTTGCAAATATCTCGGCATTACTGTGGTTATAAAACAATTTCGTTCATGAAAACTTAGTGAAACTAGCGAGACTCAGATTGGAGCACTTCTTTTTTGAAACTACGTTCTTTATAGGACCTTTCGACTTCAACTAGCCACCTTTAACTTACGCGTTGTTTTTTATCTTTAAACTAAGCACTATATTTACCGCGAAAACGGTTAGTTAAATTTCAAAACAGATTATTTGTCTTTTCTCTACAACAAACCTTTAGCTCCCGACTATACTCGGTCGCAGATGATTTGTAGTACAGTACACACAACCACGGATCCACGGACGTCCTTTAGTTTTCACTGCAATTCGTACCGATTCTTGTACTTGGTTATAAAATTTCGGTTCGCTTTCTCCTATCCACCATCCACTACGGCTTTTTTTTCCGTGTGGGTTCAGGTGTCACGAACGTAGTTCAGTGCTGGCCGAGAATGATGTGGTGATTTGGCACGCACCTTCTGCATTTACAAGAGCGTTTTCATCCATGCGTGCTTGGTTCTGTTCTCATTTATGCGGATTCTATTCTACGAGTTAAATCTACCAAAAGTGTGTAGTCAACGACCACGAACCATATTACGGGAAGGTTAGTGGTTGCCTCCAAAAAATATGCTCCTCGTCTAATCCGAGAGACTGGCAAGCTACCCATGAGCTATCAAAAGCTAAACGTAATAAAATAATTGGGCCTTATTCCTCTGACCCCGAAAGTGCCCCTGATACAGCCTCGTTGGATGAGACGAGTATGGAGAGGGTGCTGTAATCTCAAGACCACTCTAGGCTGCCTAAATCGCAAGGGACTAAGATGGCGATATGTACCTACAATGAACGCACACTTGAATTCGAGTCCTCGATAGAAGACTTAATCATGCACACAAGAAGGACAAGGTAAGACGTCATCAGACTTGCCAAGGCAAAAAGACGCCACACAACATTGATTACACCGGAGAAGAACTGTTCCTCGGAACATGTGACAATACAGGAGTCGGCCGCGTCGGCGTTCTAGTCAACACGAGTTTGACGGCGAACACCAAACCATTCGAACAACTAACAACCCACATCGAACGTTTACGATTGAAGAGATGTGGATCAATACAGGCTTTCACAGCCTCGTGGTTAAGTACCGACATCAAGCCATGACGAACACGATGTCGAAACGCTATATATGAACTCGGAGAAATTCTACGGAGAACTTCATACATTCTTTAAGGTCATTAGCTAGAAATTTCTACGCTAAGATTGGATCTGGAAGAACGTTCGAAAAACATCACATTGCCATTCACGGATTAGAATGGAACGAGCAGGGCAGCAGCTGTCCGAGTTTATCATGACGACCATGACATTGACCTCATAATTCGCACTTCCGGAAGCCCCAATCTAAACGCTGGACCTAGGATTTTCCAGTAGAGAGTACAATAAAGAAATAGAGCATACCACAGTAAATAGAAGGTTCTGTCTAACCGATCCCGTTGTTGTCCTAAAATTCTACACAGAACCAGACTATCGCCTATTTCGCTGAAGATTCAGTTTTGTCGCAATAAGGACAGAAAGCCGCTAAGTTCAAAGAACGATATGCAAAAATTACCAAAAACTGGGAATTATTTAGTTCATTAGCCTGCTCTTAGAAAAATGCCGTTATTTATAACATCGACGAGGAATACGATCGGCTCATTCAACAACTTCACATTAGTGATACGGAAGCTGAGATTTCAAAAGTCACCGAGAAACATCTGTCTCTAGAAACTCTTTAGCGTGGAATCGCAAGAGCTGCAAAGAAGCACCAACTAACGTCCGAACTTGCAAAACAGTGTAGACAGGCAATAAAAGAAGATCTTAAAGAGAAGAGAGCGGCATTAATGGTCAAAACTGCAGAGACTGGGAAAAGCATTCGCAAAGCCCACCGAAGCTTCGCCAATTACAAGACCAAGATGATTGCACTCTGACGTCCAGACCGAACACAGCGTCCAGAAAGGCAGCGGAGAGGAGAAAATCATTCACGAATACTATTCAAATCTCTTCGATAGCCACGTCTACCTTCGGTCATATGAAGTAAAGGTGGATGGATATATTGCACCACCGGTTCTCCCTTCCGAAATCCGACATGCCATTTCGTCGGTGAAAAATCGAACAGGACCAGGTCCGGACAGGATAAGATCAAAACACCTAAAGAACATTCCGCCAGTCCTCGTGAGCACACTGGCTCGGCTTTTCACACGTTACCTGTCTTAATGCAAGGTCCCTATTCAGTGGAAGACCAGCAAGACCGTGCTATTGTTCAAGAAGGGTGAACTGCACGATATCGGCAACTGTCGCCCAATCTGCTTACTGTCTGTCGTCTACAAACTTTTCACTAGAGTCATCCTAAGCAAAATTGACAGAACCCTAGACGAAGGACAGCCATGTGAGCAAGTAGGGTTTCGAAAAGGATTTACTACGGTAAAACACATCAATACGATAACGAGGCTCATTGAAGTATCGCGAGAGTACAAAAGACCGCTCTGTGTCATTTTCATCGATTTAAAGCAGGCCTTTGACGCAAGTGAGATAGAAGCAGTCATGAAAGCCCTTGATAGCCAGAGAGTCCCTACTCAGCACATAAAGATTCTTCATGAGTTGGACAAAAATTTCACAACAGATATCACCATTCTACAACGATATTATCATTGATGTCAAAAGAGGAGTTAGGCAAGGCAATGTCATCTCGCCAAATTAAATTCCACCACCCTCCAAAACGTCATGCGAACATTGGAATGGGATAATATGGGAGTGAAAATCGATGGTCGCCAGTTACACCATCTTCGCTTTGCTGATGACATCGTCCTTATAACACTAAACCTTAGCCAAACGGAACGAATGCTTGCCGACTTTGATAATCCTGTGGAAAGGCTGATCTTCGACTAAATCTCACAAAAACGATGTTCATGAAGAATGGATTATTTTTGCATACCCCACTCACGCTCAACGGTATGAACATCTCGAAATTCTCCAGCTACGAACAGTTCGGGAAATCAAAATGATCACGACTCAGCTACAGTGTTGAGCAGGAGGAAGCGATCGGCTTGGAGAGCATTCAAGAGTATCAAGATATAGTGAGAAAAACGAAGAAAACTCCATTCCATGCCCACCTTTTCGATTAAATGGTTCCTCCTTCCTTAACGTATTTGTGAGGAACCTGTCGCTGTGTAAGTAGGATGAAAGATCACTTAGCATTATAGAATGTGTTGTCGAAATGACGATGCTAGGAGTATAACGTATCATGCAAGTAAGGCAAGGGATCCTAGGCTCTGATCTACACCAACGATCAAGGATCAAAGATGCCGTTCTATACGCCAAACAGTCGAAGATAAGGCGGCTGGCGCTCGCAGTGCGTCTGAATGATAACTAATGAGTAAAGGCAGTTAATGACCGGATTTTTCAAGACGTCAAAAGTACTGCAGATAAGCAACCGACTCGATGGTCAAAGTTGTTCACGAAGGCCCTCGAAGAAAGTTATGACGCTCAACGAATCTCTACACCGTGGAGAACCCACTAGGCCGCTCTTTCACGCTGCAGGGAGAAATGGAAGGTTTATTGGCGCCACCTGGAGACACTCTAGGACCAACAGGAAGATAGGCGACAGATGAATTGTGATCTACTACAGTGGTCGCTTATGACTAAGTCAGACGGCCAAAGTCATGTGTTTCTGAGACCAAGAACTGAGATTGGCCGCGCTCTTTTCTTGATGCAAACTCCTCAATGACGTCGATGACATATGACACCACCATCTATCTGGGCATCATCGTCAGGTCATCACCAACGTTGTCGTCGTCATCGCCACCGTAGTTGTCTCGAAATAGATGAAACTTCTTGCAACCTTCATTTATTCACCTCCATTCGTAAATTCCGATATGTTGCACGCAGTAGATATCGGGATTATTGACGAATGAAGGAACCCGCATCAATTTTCCGCTGTAATCATTTTTTCTGCACTGGTACCTTATAGAACTCTTTTTTATAAGCAACATGAAAGTGTTAGGTGCAACATAGAGAGTTTCAGCATACAAAATTTTCATATGACTTGAAAGACACGTTGTTTAGATCTCAGCACTTCCTCGAACATTTGAAATCATTATCCACGAAGGTCTTAGAAGTTTTGTGTGTGGGCTCGGTTGCTAGTTGTGAATTGTCTTTTCTTATTAATTTAGTAGGATGCTCGTCAGATCGATTATCGCTGGAATCCTAAGAATGCTAGCGAATTTCTACGTTGGTATAACGGATCTAGTCGAACCCAGGCGAATCTGACACCATTTTCCTTAGCACGAGCCATGAGAAGCATAGTTGGCACGAATCAGAGTCGAACCAGCGCCTTGCTAACGCCATCACTACCACTGCGCTACCTGTACCCGCATATAAAATTGCTTCAGAAAAATTGGCTTAAAGGATAAAAAATAAATCGTTTGGTATCGTTTAATTTCTGAGGGGATGCATCATGCATTAGACTTTCCAATGAATCGTAGAGGTGATTGAGTACAACGAGTGGCTTGCACAATATTCTGCTATTGCGGTGGGTCGGAGTTTTCAATTTTTTTTCCTTACGGACTGAAAGATAGCAAAAATAACTAAAGATGAGGAGCTTGGAATAATTTTCATTTGAGAAAGATTTAAGAAAATCGCTGAACAATCGAACACGAAAGCATGCAAGAACATCGAAGACAGGCTGAAGGAAGTAGAAAGAAATTTCTCCCTCTTGGAAAGTAAATAATATCAGAGAGCAGTCAGTGTTGTAAATCAGACTATCGAAAAGATACTAAGAGCATCCCAATCATGCAAATGAGAAAGGAAATTCGAAGTTTCAACGATGTCAACGAAGAAAAGTGCACAACACAAGGACCGTTGCCGAACGGCTTCCACAGAACGTTATACGCGCAGTGAAAGACCAACAAACTCTGTAGTTAGACCTCTAAAAGGAGACCCTTTGACGGCTTTTCCCAAGTCTCTGGGTAGTCCAGTGCGTTCTTCTCACTATAGGAACCCTACCACCATATTTTTCTTCGAAACTTTTCGTAAGGAACTCTGAGCATCAGGTCGCTGATCTCTTGTTGAGCGTTTGATATCCTGAGGGATTCATTCGATAACGAGTCTTCTTCATCGGTTGTCGTTCATAAGCATTACGTGTTTAGCTCACTTTATCTTCGACAATTTGGCGTGTGGAACACCATCGATGGTTTTTTACCGTTAAGGCAGGAAAAATCGTGAACTCGAACAGGTGAACTTGGAATCGGATGTTCCTTGTCCTCTTCACTACATCCTCGATGCTCTTAGAATGTCCCCAAGTCACTCGATTCCTCTTATTCAACTCTTGTGCTAGGTAGTTCGTTATGTTGGCTTCAATAATATTGTTACCATCAGGAATAAAATTACCATTATTTCTATCAATGCAGTATTTTGGAGTGTTATAATGCTTCAATACCACTAAATCGCTGCTACTCGTGCTATTTGGAGAAGGTCACATCTAAGGTTTCTTGTCTTCTCACGCCCTAGTTTCTACAGCAAATGTGCTGCACTGACAAGCTTACAAGTCACAATAGAATCCGTTATTTCCACAAAATCTTTATCTTTCGTATCGTATAATCTTTACAATACGATGAAAAAAATCGTTTTTTCACCTGCTATTTTTGATATTTTCCTAAATTGTTGATATAGAAAAACTCCTAGCCATTCATTCATTAGGGACGAGCAAAAGACAAGTCCTGCCGTCAGTCCTATGCCAATAACGGTACTAACACGTACTCTCTTCCGTTGGGTAAATGTGGGATGCAACGACTACGATCGGTACGTAACCATTTTCTTTGCTTTTCTTCTGTGTATATCCTCTTCGTACTCAACGTTCTTCATTCTTGTCGACATTTTAGTCATTTTATTTTCGCAGGCTAATCCTAGAGGGGTGAACTTTGCCGTGACAGTGCTCGTATCGTTTCATCCGGCTGGATTCATCACCAAAAACGATCGAGCATTTCTTGTGAAATGCTTTTATATGGAACCGGACTCAATTGTAACACAGTCGATTGACGTGAGGTAATATTGAACTAAAGATTTCACTACTAATTGTAGCCAAAGCACAAACGATTTAGTAAAGAATCGATTCACACCATGGCGTGTTCACAATACCCGTTTCCCGCGCGATACTGTATGTAACGAGAAACTCATTTTCATGCATTGGCGGAGTATTTTATTCATCCCTCTCTTGATCTAACTATCAAAAGTTCTGGCAAGTATGAAGCTTGTAATTTTGAACACGACCGTGATTTCACCTTGGTACTACAATAATCAACATTTGTTCATATTGTTGAGCTCACACGAGGTTGATTGGACAAGAATTGTCGGCTCTGATGAAGACGAAGACGTCGAAACTTTAACCGAGTAAACATCTCTATCAACCTCGTATAAGCTTGACAATATAAGCAAATATGAAGCTTGTACTTTCGAAATTTTCTTTTTTCTTCTTTCTTTTTTTCCTTGCTAAGCGAATTAAAGAAAAACGTCTTGTGTGCGCTAAACCGCCAAGTAATCCTTTTCTCTCATGCGTCTCCGAAATGAAGTGAAATTGAAATTGTCTGCTTCCATGAACGAATGAACTACTCGTTTACTGCATTAATGCCTGAAATCTAATATTGTATGACTGCACTGATCACCTGCAAAACTTGATCATCTTTCATTTACCTTTTTCATTATGATTATTATTTTTTACTACTGAAATCTTTTTGCTATTTTAATCAATACAGCACGCTGTCTCAAAATTTGAAGGCTTGTAGTACAAGCCAATGAAGCGCTAGTGGTACTCAGATGTTCATTAGTTCAATCCTTTCTCTCTACCAGTGAAATCTTCCATTGCACAGGCGAAATGTCCCAGTGAATTTCAAGAAACGAAAGGCTGCTATCGCAGATCATTGTTCAAGTTTTATCACTTATTATTTATAATAGCGTAGTGCTTAGACTGTTAGTCATATACACACAGGCGTTAGTTCGACATTGCGCCTTAGACTAACCAAGCCCTCCACCTCTCTGGAATTTGAAACAAATTTACTGGTGATGATGAAACGTGATTTGGTATATCGATAGGTCCACATAGGTTATTGCATAGGTCGATCATGCATTTAATCACGCTTCGCTTATTACAATCATTTGTAGGTCAGAGCTGAATGCTCTGTCCTCTGCCCTTTATTTATTTCCAATAATAATCGCAACAGAATACGCTGCTTTAGCAGTCTTCCTACCACCGAACTAACGGATTCCATGTCTATGCCGAAATGCGATTATTCAGTTCGTCGTGACTCACCCAACGGTCCCACTCTGACGTTTGCCAACGTAGGAGACACGGTCAGTTCTTAGCTATAAATGTTAGCAGGATTTTTTTTAATTTTATTTTATTTTATACAGCTCATCTTTCACATCTACTGTACGGATCCTAGCACTTTTAGCATTCGATTCTTTTCGTCGCATCCATTATCCGCTGTGGTCTTCCAACTTTTACGTGTGGCTTCGGCTGCTGTTTCATTTCAGTTTTTCATTTCATCTTGAGTCTCATAGAATGTTGGTTGAGTCGATTCTTCCTGGAGTCCTGGGATAGCCGGGTAAGAGCGTTCTCACTTTATTGCCGAGAACGATCTTTCCCGTCCAGAGGGATGATAGGCTTGGTAAGCCCGAGCGGGATCGAACCAGCACAGGGCTCGTGATTATCGGCATCACTAACACCGTGCTATCAGTAACATAGTTGTGTTTAGTACAAAGATGTATAAGGGAGTTATGTCACTGTATAATAGGAAATTATGCTATAGAATCGCGAAAGAACACTCTGGACTTTAATATTTATTTATATTATATTATTTATTATTTTATTTTATTCAATATTTTATATTATTTATATATATTATATATATTATATTATATTACAGTATATATATTTATTTTTATTCAATATTTTATTTTAATATTTTATATTTTTCAATTTATTTTTTTATTTACTATTATTTTATTTTATTTTTATTTATTTATTTATTTATTTGTTTATATTATTTTATATTATTTATATTTAAGAATACATATTGATTAGTGATACCGAGGTTCAAGGAAAGTCGGTTTCGAAACACTCTGGACTTTGTTTTGGCGTACGTTTACTCTTAGCTGTTTTGACGAATGAAAATATCGAAACTTCTCCTCAGATGAACTAACCTTTCGGAAGGTGAACCACCACTTTATACATTATATACTGCATCCATAGACACCTTCTTACCCAGGTGAAATGAACCACCTTTGAAAACTATCAGATGAGTGACGTTATCCTCATTATATGTTTCCCCATTGGTGAGCTAACACGAAGTTGATGAAACATACTATACGGCCAACGTTTCAGCACCTTCGCCTTCTCCAGAGCCGGATTAATAGAGATAGATTATCGACAGTTGTTCCTTCTTCTGATGTGGGTCTTGGTGACAGCATAGAATCGAATCCAGTTGAGCATAGTCTGATTGAAATAATCTCACTCGACAATGCCTTTTTATACAGGAAGGTTGTTGATACCGACTGTCTGTTGGTGATCGTTTGCTTTTCTCTGAAAAATCCATCCAGAAGCAGTCGGAGTCATTGGCAGCTAGCGCACAGCGCAATAGTATTTTAACATTCTCGTGATTAGTGATACCTATATTTGTCATAATGGTTTTACGGCAGTCCCCAGTAATACATGCATTGGTTTCATTTTCTTTCTAATGGTTAATTCTAGCATACAGAACTGTTTTCCCATACTTTCTTTTATCACTTGTTAGCTTGTAGAACACAGATACTGTATTGGACGTTGGTCGTGAAAAGCACTTACACTTCCACTTTCTGCACTTAAAATTGTACAAAAACCGTTCCACCAACTGGTTCAATAAGCAGAAATTTTCGTACTAATCGACTTAGTATCACTTCAATTCTCGTTGCTATATGAGCGATAGTTATCATTATCATGTAAAATGTGAGAACTATTAAAAATGCTGAAATAGAGACTCTTAAGTCGCAAAACACTTCTAAATGCTACCATTTATGTGTTTGTGTGACGAAACCCTCTAGCATTCGAAAAGTTATGGTTTATTTTCAAAAAACCAGCAATTCCATAAAGGTTGACAGTTTGACTCCGTCCACTCCGCAAAGAACTTGAGATCATGAGTCGTTGCAAGAGTATTAAAAACCGACTTTCCCTTAACACGGATGACTGAATTTCTACAAACCTGGGAATCAATAGTTAATAGATGTAATTCCTACGAATTGCCCTGGTGAGCTGATGCGAGGTTGGTATCAGTCGTTGTTGTTGTTGTGAATCGACGACTAACATTTTGGCAAACTAGCCTTGCTCAGAAACTGGACATATTTTATGTAAGGCTATCCATACTATTCGATGAAATGCGTATAGAATCAATAAAGATCTATTATATAAATGGGCGTTTTATTTTAAAACTACTCACCGTTTTGTAACGTGTAGAACCACACGTGTTTTGTTCTCGTGGGGTTACGAAAGGATGAGGTGCCGAATGGTTAACCGAATAAAGTCTTTTTTTAAGCAACTTCGTGTTGGCATGTGACACTGAAAGAAAATACTTATTAGTTACTCACACCGAAATTGAAGGAACGTCGTTTTTTAAAAATTATATCCATTTTTCATTGAATCGAAATTTGTTCTCTTAATTTTTTTCTTTCGAAAAAATCATATCCACTCTGTGTGTGTATTAAGCAGCGACGACACGTGAAAATAGCTAGAGATCCCACAGAATACACGAATGGTCACGAAGGACCTGAGAATGCTCTTTTAAAACAACCGATGATTTTGTGGAGAATCAGTTTAACCAGAATTCCACGATATTTGTGAAGATAAAATGCTCAAGCTGCATGTGCTAGTTGGCCAGTGGATTAGGGAGTTGGTCGGATTTGTCTTTTGTCCGCCAACTGTGCGTGGACTGCTCGACTTTGTACGAATTCACCACGCGGGACCTTTTTTCGTAACTGCCGTGAACCACCTCGATTTTTGGTCATAACAGTTTATAGCAATAACAACGGCACAATAATAATATGTGACAATATGTGGTTAGCTAGGTAGATACGAGCGAGATTGAAATGAGAACAAGTGATGCGTTTGAAGGAAGCTAGGCGGACACTGTATTTGGAGCACTGAGGAACTGAGGGACTAGAAGATAAGCACTGGAAGACTGGAAGACGAGCACTGGGGGTTGGAACCCAGGTACTAATGAATTGGAGGCAGGCACTAGTTTTTATGACTACTGGTGCTCCTTACATTCTGTCTGTAATGGGCGGTGTTTTACAGAAGGAGTCAGATTTTGTGCTGATTCAAGGCATGACACGGTACATGCGGAGAAGTACATCAAATGAGACGGTATGCCAGAGGATTCGTCAACATAGAACTTATTCAGATAGCGAAGGAATAGCTTGTACAAAGGTTTTTGGCTTGTCAAGAGGTCATGTGAAGAGATGGAATAGCTCATAGAAAGGCTTTTACCGAAAGTACATGTCGAAACGGTATGAACATTTATACATTATGAATGGATAGATTTAAGATAGTTATAAGTAAACAGTTAGTATAGGAGACATATGATATCATAGAGAATAGGAACTATTTAAGAAATAGTTACTATACTGCTGTTGAACCCACACATAAATATGAAGACAGCGGATGACAGCTACAAAGCAACGATCCGAGTGAAAGAAATGCTGCAATCCACAAATATGGGAAAATGGGTCATATAAGTAAATAAAAATAGGAAAATAAATAAGCAAATGATCTGTACCAACCATCGATCACTCTTAGGTGGAAGATTTCGAGTCAACTAATCAGTTTATATGGAAGTCAGTTTCAAGTAGCCTCCAACAATTAAGCAGCATATCTTTTATGGAAGAACTCGACATGGTACTCATGAGCGTATTCTGATCCGGGAAGGAGCTGACAACTTACCCTTAGGTGCTATCTCACCAAAAACAGCAAAATCAGCGGGTCTCATATGAAACGCGTTATGTTCTCTCTATGCTTTAAAAAAGCCGAGTTTATTAAGCAGCTCTAACTTGCGGCGGAAATTTAGACTCTAATCTTGGATATCGTCTTGAACTGTCAGTAATTATCAGGCTGATAACTTTCACAGATACAGTAAGACTGTCCTCTTAAATTGGGAAGATGATATTTAGATTTCAGAGGAATCAGTTTCTACTTATTTCTAGTCAACAAAGAGGAGCGTGCAGCGCAGTAACTAAAGCTACCCTGCAATACACGCTGAGGCGATCGTTAGTTCAGTCCTGTGCTTCATGCCAACCGAGCTTTCCATCACCTCGTGGTCGACACTTTGGTACCAGATCTATTTGGGAGGATAGCAGCACTGATTTGATTCATCGTTAAACCACCGCAAATAATGGTGTAGGCCAGACATGCAATCAATCACCTCCAAACGATCCTTAATGAAGTTGAATGCACTGTGCATCCATTAAAGAATGATCAACACCGGGCTCTATATCCATTATGGTTTTAAAATCACTAAAAACTACCTCCAGTTTGTGGCTAAACGTATTTCCTTCTTCACGTCACTTCACTCAACCCAGTGTTTTAGGTTTACCATGTATGGGAATGTAGTCCACCCGACATGGGAATGCTGGTAAAAAAGTGTTTTGTCACTGATGGCGATGGAGAGAATCATGCAGTAATCGACTACGACGGGTACTTTCCATTGATTTGAATTATAAAATTCTCTGTTATAACGCCATGTTTTAGGTGCTCAACAGACAGTTTCCTCCTCAACGAACTGATCTATGACCAGAATTTAATGAGAGCACACACAGTAAGCCAGGTTGGTCATTCTGAAGTTCTGTGCTGATTAAAAATATTAGCATCCATGTTTGAGTCATATGTAACCTATATGTGGAGAAAGAAAATCGGCTAGTGTTAGCCGTAGTGACTCATGTTGCATGCAGTTTGTAGCATAGCGAAAGTGTTGGTCAGCGCTAAGAGGTAAGGATTTTGGAATATACTCATATTTCACACTTGAGTGATCCTTTCTACCCATCACGGTGGAATTTACCAGCCCAATCGCAATTCTCACTTGATTGACAATTTCTCAATTGAAAAGGATTCTCTTTTCCTGAAGTTGAAAGTCATGCTAGAGCTTCCCAGATCCCACCTACCCTTTAGTGACAGCGTTGCCGTGTATGATGGTAGTGATTCTTGGCACTGGTTTATCCCTGGGTAAGCTTCTGAATGGAAACGTTGGATTCTTTTCCAGCTTGGAGTACACCCGCTGGAATGATGAACCCCTGTTGTACAATACAGATCATCAGGCAGTAAAACCTCACAACAATGATGAAACTCAGTTTGAAAGAACAGATTTGTAATTCATACTATTCTACACCAAGTGGAACGCACAATGTGCGTCTCCTCTGAAATTCCAGCTGATAAATATTTTGCAGGAAGCACGAGAAAGCAAGTACTATGATACCACTACTCATTACCTTAACCTATTATCTGCTGAAATTCTGTCAGTATCTAGGCAGTCCTGAGGACAGCAATGTATTAAGAGACTTACAGATAAGGCAGAACAGGTCAATAGTGGGGATTCAATTTTCGCGACTACATCACTTCTATTTGATCTATGTCTTCTGGCCAAATGGATGTAAATGAGGAATTTTCAGGTATTCAAATATGCCGATTCAAACCAGTTGTACTTTACTTGCCAAATACGATTATGTCAGCGACAAATGGGAATGTGCCAAAACGTGACGGTAAGCCCCATCGTTAAAAGTTCAACTGACGTTAATGTAGTTGTCGATCCCCACACCGAAATGATTCAGAATCGCTTCAATTGGCTGCATGAAGTCAATGGAAAGGCTTAGCTGATCATGTAAGAACAAAAAGTTCTAAAACGGATTATGGACATTTCAGAAGCGAACTAAGTTCGCTTCTAGATTGTCAATGCGACACTCATTTAAAGCTCAAATCATGCATAAACTAGAAAAAACTCGACGATCACTTACCAAATCAAAGTCATAAGGAAGTCGAAAAAATGAATACATTGACACTATTACAGAGCCTGATTAAGTAGACATGTGCTACATGCGATTACATACAGTTTTTTGTACTAGACCAAAATCGATAATATTCATGTCATTCCAGCCTCCACAATGTGATTTGAATCGACCCAAGAGACCACGTCGCGCCACGATGATGTCGAACGATCTGGAGATCGACGTCACGACGGGCGAGATGTTAGTGCTGGACAAAGACGAACGACGTCAGCTCGACGGCGTTCCACTCTGTTTGCCGAAGATCACCCTGCCAATGATTCCACTCATCCTAGTCACTGTTGCTGCCGGTTCATTTTCGATTAAACCAGAAAAAAACGAAGCTAAAAACGATTATATCGTTTGCATTAATTACAGCTAAAACATATGAGAAGTAACGCTCTCGGCGCTGGTCCTACTCCTTGGGAAAGCGCCATCCATTCGACTTCCCTCATAGTGCTGTAGATGTGACTGAATGGGTATCTGACCTATACCCCATACCTGGTGTGCGTGTGACGAAATGGTCGGAGGCGCCCTGCAACACACATATGGGATCGATCCCCGCGCTGGTGGCTCACCAAGCTTTCCATCCCTCTGGGGTCGGCGAATTGGTACGTGTCAGGGAGTATAGCAGCACTGACTCGATACAGTGCTAGGCCACCGCGAGTCATAAAACCAAATATACACTCAGTCACCTCCAACGATATTTAATGAAGTCGAATGCATGGCGCATCACTCAGGGATTAATCAACGCCGAGAGCATTTTCCTTTATTTTTTTATTACCGCATACCTGCAGTAGCTTCACGGCCATTCTGTTAATTCAGTGTTTTTATCCATGCAGACAAGTCTGGTCCCATTTCGTTGACCCCAGTAGGATAGAGAGTTTGGTTTGCTCGTGGGCATATGATCGAACCGACGGCCATGTGTATACTACAGGGCACCTCCATGCGCGCTTAACGAGCGCCACTTGTTTCTGCATTAGCTAAAAATAGCTTCAGCATATATCTGTAACAGCACCCTATTGTACTATAAAGGATTTCGGGCACTATTAGTAATTAAATACTCTTAGATGCTAGCATTGATATACAACCATCAAAAAATTACTACGTACAACTAAAAATCGCATTAGAATTCGTTTTTTGTTTAGTTTCCACATCCGTCACTCTGCTCGTTGTCAGACGACAAAAGGAGAAAGAATTTTGTACAGCTCAAACACCATCAACCTACTAAAACATCTACGATGGCTAACCTCACAGTTACGAATGTCCTGACTTGCATTTGTTTTATATTAAATACGGAATGTTATTGTCTTATAGGATGTTGATAAAGCTTTTTGAAATAAATTATGATCTGGATAACAGCACTAATCGTTGCATACACGAATTTGAACTTGTGGAATATCGAAAGTTGGGTAAATGACGTAAAAAACGAAAACAAAACTTTTGGCAAAGGTAGCAGGTTAGACTAATTCATCTCCAAATTGCGAGAGAAAAGATGAACACAGACATTTAAACGTCTTTACTCACCCTTTTAATGATGTAAAGCGAATCCCAAAACCAACTTTCCTTCAACCACGACACTGGTCAATAATTTGTTGTTTTCTTGATTAGGAAACATGGGATTGTTACTACAGCATTTATTAATACATAATAGTTGCCGTCTCGGCAGTTTCGCCTTTCTCAGTCCCTGGAAAGGTCAAATCGACGTGCACACTACTCATCCAAACATTTCCATAACCACAACTTAATAAATTGCATAATAAACAGCTTCGTTTAAACACCCACTACTTCAGACGGAGGACCTGCCTGGTGCAGTAATGAACACGTTAGCCCATAGAAAGAGTAATAGTGTGTTCGATCCCTATTGCAGGCACCTGCGGTCCGGAGTTTTGCAAATAACTCACCATTGTTGTAGTTATACTCACCGTTTTTTTCTTTGTAAGTTTTCCAGTTATTCGGTGGAAGCCAGCCTCAGAGAGTACCACATGGGCGAGGAATGTGCGTAGCTCACGTCGAAAAAGCAGCCTAAGTTGTGACTCGAGGTCATCCGTCGTCTCTTTTTCTACTCTTTTTCTCATTATGTGAGTGGTTTATCACTGTTTCGCTATCGATGTATATTCTCCTGGATTCCGAAGACAGGCTAAGTTTCGAAGATCAGAGCTTCGCATTCCGACTAGGTATTGGGTGTGCCGGTTATATTTCAAAAGAGATTATTCAAGCGATCTTCGAGTAATGCGCAACATTCCTGACGTGGTTGAGCTATCAGCTCACGTCTATGCAGCATAGTAGAGCACCGGACGGACCGATGAGTCGTGAAGGTGAGAATTTTCGGTCTTTCATTTGATCGATAGAGCTTCTTTGAGCAAAGAACCATCCATTTCGATTTGTTCACCTTCGCACATTTTTCATGAACTAGATCTTCTCCCGATTTATGAGTTGTTCGGTCTTTTTCCCCGCTTCACTGAACTCATTGATCACCGTCTCTGGTTCTCTGGCACTTCTTGAGAAGATGACAATGTCGTCGGCAAAACGAAGGTTTAATGGGAATGTCCCATCAATACGTATGCCTTTCTCATTGCAATCGAATGACTTCATTGTCTACTGCAGTGCGGCACTGAATAGCTTTGGCGATGTTGTGTCGCCTTGTCGAACCCCTTTTCCTATGGGTGAGAGATCGGTGGAAAAGTTGTGTTCGTAATGCAGTTCTGATAACAATTGCCGACGAGGGCTTGGCAGTCAAATAGAGTTCTTATGTAGGACGAGTCCACTCTTTGGTCGACGAGCGCTCATACGATTCCATTCGTTTCGACACTGTCAAACGCTTTTGAAAGTCGACAAAAGTTAGGACTAGAGGCAGGTGAAATTCACGACAAACTTCGATGACCCTAGTCACGGTTTCGATGTGGTCCATGCAGCAAAATCCTTATCGAAATCCTGCTTGCTCCATTGGTTGTGCCACATCAAATTTCCTTGGTATCCGCAACAGGATAGCCTTGCTAAAGAGCTTCTACAGTAAATTCAACAAGCAGATCGAGCGGCGGTTACGGAAATCCTTTAGGCCGCCTTTCTTGGGCAGAATGACCGTGCACGACATCTCCCACTGGTCTGGGATTTTTTCCTTTCGGAGGTAGGCTGACATAAGGTTTGAGAAAAGTACATGTAAATTATGGCTTCCAGCTCTAAGGAAATCGGCGGTGGTATTATCGGGTCTTAGAGCCATGCCTCTTTTAATGCTTTCCATAGTAGTTCGAACCTCCGACGGAACATTACAGGTGGTTTTTCTTTAACGAGAATTTTATGGTCCCCAGCGGCGATTGGGGAACGGAAAAGATTGGTGTAGAACGTTTCGGTTATTAATCCAATACCATGGCGGGAAGCTTTGACGATCCCATCTTCTTAACCTTTTTATTTACTGCCTATTCTTTTAAAGGCAGAGTATTTTTGCGAAATAAAACTACTACGACGCTGAAATATTTGCAAAACTCCGGACCGCACGTGTCTGCGGTTCGGAGTTTTGTAAAGATACCATCTTCGTTTATCAGGCTTGACAACGGAACATTATAATCACATAAGTCTCGAAGGCAGTTTTTCAGACTACTTCTTTTCTCTGCTGCTTCCAGTAGTTTCTTCTGCTTGTACCGTGTAGATCCTCCCGCAAAGCTCTTCTGCAGCTGGCATTTATTACTATGCCATGTTAAACATGTTGCAGTAGGATCAAGCTTCAGTTTCCTACTCTTTTCGAGCAACTCCTTCGTAGTAATGAGATGTGATCCGATCTTCTTGAATGAGGAACTGAGGTGAATTCGGTACAACTTTTCAGTCCTTTGACAAATAGCTCATAGTCCTGGCCGATTCAGAACGCTCTCGTCATATACAGCTAGACCTTTCGCTCATGGTCAATGACGCAAATTATTTTCCTGCTTACGGCTGAATCGAATTTTTGCGCGAAAAGCTGTGATCGGAACCACTATAGAATGACAGGACTATCGATGTGTTAAGTGGGCACCATCTGCTATCTGTCAGAATATGGTCGATCTTCGCATGAGTCATGCCGTTAGGAGACTCCCATGTCCAACATCGGCTTTCTTTCTCCTGAAAAAACGAGTTTCCATAGAAGAAATGTGCTGCAGACAGGAGTCTGGCAAAACGGTTTCCATTCCTACTTCTTTCTCCTAATCCAAAATTTCCAATCCTATATTCGCTTTCGCTGGGCTCTGCTATTCTGGCATTTGAAGGCTCCGGCACAAATTTATAGTACGCTTTATCATTGCCGGCCGATAACTTCCTCCAGCTGATAGTAGAACATAGATAATTCTTATTCATCACGTGCGTCGGTAGGTGAGTAGCAACTGATGACAGTGATCTTCTTATGATGAGCTGGTTGAAGGTGGTGGATGGACATGCGAGGAGAAAAGATCTTACACAAGTCGACGAGATGGACGATGAACGAGCGGACGACAAAGCCTACGCCACCGACATTTCTCTATGGGATCTTTGCGTTTCTCGCAGGACGATTACACGGAATTTGATGCGATCTGCGGCTTCAAGGAGGTCGTGAAGATAGGCGTCTGAGGGGAGTGTTCTGACATTAAACCTACAAAGTACGAAACAATCTCCATGACATGTCGTGCATGTGTTGTTTAGATTCGGTTCCAGTGACGTCCTGCCTAACCGAAGAGTTTGTGGTCTACAACGGGGTATGCGGGCTATTCAGGCTGGCCTATTGCTGGTTAGGCAATTTGATCCTCCGTGGAGTCCTAACCTAACCCCGCAAGGGTGTATCCAGATCTTCACCACAATCAGGATCTGAGGGAAGTATCTTTTCAGCAATGATTCCTTCGCTCGGTCTTCCTACTAGTTGGTCGGAGACGATGTTAAAACCGAAGTCAGGAACGAAAGTAAGAATAAAAAAATTACCGCTCAAGGGCGATGTAGAAGCCGAAATCCATGACTGTCAGTCAGTCGTTCGCCAGAATGACTCCTATCGAATTCTCTAAAAACCCTTTTTTTAAGCAACGTTTTATAACTGGGCTTATTACGTTGGAGATGAAAGGCAAGATAAGCAGGATCACATCCTCTCTAGACATTTCATTTGCGGGTATGGATTTTCCCGTGACCCAATCTTGAGGAGCTACCTTTTTGTAGGCGTTAGAAGTGGCTACTTTACGCGCCAAATTCAACGATCCTTCCTTCTGCTCTCTTCCTGTGCACACGCTTGTAGCTGTTCGAAACGTGTCTCTCACAAGCGTCCTTTTATTATGCGTGAGCGGTGGGAGGAAGCGTGATGAACCAGTATATTTTTTAATAACTCGAAAGACCAACTTTCTATAAACCTCGGCATACATAGCTGATATACTTATTTATATAATCTTATAAACTGATCTTCTTAAGCTGACGCGAGATTGGTACAGGTCTTCGTTATCGTTGTCGTTGTTTTTGATGTTGTTGGTCGATGGCTGACGTTTCGGCGACTTCGCTTTTCTCAGAGCCTAGACGTATTTTATTTTATATTAGAATATTTTTATTACTCGGTGGAAAAAAAGTTAAAGTATTAATGAAGATCAAACTTTCAAATAGACGCCATACTGAACAGAAAGGCCACTCATCGTGATGTTACGTGCGGGACTGGCTCACACGTAGTTCATGTGGAGTCGCGAGCAAGACACGCCCCGTGGTCAAAATATCATATTGAAATAGGGCGCCAGGTCACGCGTGATAGTGAGACATTCGTCTTTCCGGTTCATCTTTCGATTTTTGGAATTTATCCAAAGCGCCTCAAGAGTTTCGCGCGTTGATGTTTTTGATTCCTGCGCTAGGATCCGCACATTCACTTCAAAATCATCGCCGTTGTGCTTTTGTGTTCTATGCGTACCTAGAGGAGTGTTTAGACGGACTTTAGCTTTCCATCTAGATGTTCTTTTATGCGGACACAAAGTAGTCTACCCGTTTCCCCAATATATTCCTCGCCGCATGCGTTACATGAGATCAAGTATATTATACCTTTGATCTTCATTAATACTTTAACCTTTCTTTTCCACCGAATAATAAAAATATTCTAATATAAAATACGTCTAGGCTCTGAGGAAGGCGAAGTCGCCGAAACGTCAGCCATCGACTAACAACATCAAAAACAACGACAACAACAACGAAGTCCTGTACCAACCTCGCGTCAGCTTAAGAAGATCAGTTTATAAGATCATATAAATAAGTATTTAACTGCCACGACCGACTTTCTATTAACCTCGGCATTGACCAAGTAATTTTCTTCGTATTTTTGTTGAGCAAACGCGAGGTAAGTCATAGTGTCATAGGTCATAGTGGAAATATAGACATGGACATACTTAGTGGAAACCTCATAGGAAGCGGCTCTGAGGAAGGCGAAATCCGCCGAAACGTCAGCTTAATAGTGAACAAAGAATAATAACACCTCGCGTTTGCTCAACAAAAATACGAAGAAAATTAAGTATATTTAGTTACTTCGCTTTCGGTACCACTTGGTGATGCGGCCGCTTTCGGATGGGTTAATTTTAATTAGAACTTGTCCGCTGAGGTTATGAAAGTGCTTGGCTTAGACTACATGTCAATTTCACCTTTCCAGGCTCTGAAGAAAGCGAAAACCGCCGAAATCGACTATTCTGTATTAACAATTGCTGCAACAACAACCTCGTGTTCGCCCACAAAGGGAAACAGTGACATTACTTCTCTCTCCCTCTCTCTTTCCGTCCATCTCTTTCCTTCTCTCACTCCTTTTCTAACGTACCTCTCTTCCTCCTCTCTTGGTTTCTGATCACCACTTAATTTTTGTCATCAACTTCCTATTTCACACGGTATTTGTTCCACGTGGCGTCCGCAATTTTGCGTTTCGAACAAAGCCTGTACACCAGTACTAACGAATTTTTCTTCAAGCCAAGATTACACGGGTGGTTTTATAACGTGTAGTAGATTGGTGTTTTAAGAATTAAGATTAAGGCTAAACAACGGTTACACCTAAATTGGAGCAGTTCAATGGTCATAATTCATCAAAGAGAGAAATTTTCCCTCCCTATGAAGTGAGCTGTAGCGTGTGTAGCGCAGTGGTGAAGGGCGCCCTGCAATACACATGGGATCGATCCCCGCGCCCATGGCTCACCAAGCCTTCTCTCCGGAGTCGGCAAAATGGTACCAGACTTGTCTGGGAGGATAGCAGCACTGGCTCGTTACATCGGGTGTCCACGAGTTACAGTCTAGGCCAGATATGCATTTAATCACTTCTAATGGTGCTTAATGGAGTTGAACATATAGAGCATCCCTCATGGACTGATAGACGCGGGAAGCTTTTTGCTTTACCCTTTTTATGAATAGTCATCGATTTCCAGGACCGACTTTCTATTAACCTCGACATTGATTGATAATTCGATGTTTTTCTTCAACAAGCAGTCACGAGGTTGCTATAGAATTTATTAGGATACAATAGCTGACGTTTCGGCGGTTTCGCCTTCTTCAGAGCCTGTTTATTTGTTGTATCTAAGTTAGTTGATGGATAGTAGCCGCACAGAGTAATACATGAGCGATAACGTCATCGATTTGTTGTATTGTTGATATTGTGTTATCACCACAGTGAAACTGTAGTGAACAGACGGAGTTCTTTCGTGTTTGAATTTCCTCTGAAGCATGCTAAAGTTACTACAATACTTTCTTATTATGTGATATTGTTTTTTCTAGTACTTCTTCTCCATAACACATGCTACAGAATCTTGCACTGTTGCTGTAGTAGTGAAAAAGTCGAGCTATGGCCGAACACATACGTGGTCCTTGGAGGTGATTGGGTGCACATTTGGCCTTTACAATGACTCACGATGGCCTACCGATGTATCGAGCCAGTGCCATTATCCTCCCAGACGAGTGTGGCACAAATCTGCCGACCCGGGAACGATGGAAGGCTTGGTGAGCCATGAGCGCGGGGATCGATCGATCCCATAGTATTGCCCGGCGCCTCCGACCACTGCGCCACGTGCGACCCTATGCAAGGTTCTACTACCAATAAGTGGATATCCTACTAAAACAGACTGTGTGGATGGATACCACATCGCTGTGATATTGCATTGTAGAGCTTCTTTCTATATATACGAAAAATCTTTATCTGTTGAAAACATGAGGACGTCGAAACGTTAGCCGAATCAATATTTTTGAACAAACATCGTGGCAGCTCACTAATTCAAAAAATGTTTATCTACTAGGTTTGTGCTCTGAAGTATTGTCTGTATCACACGTACTGCCGTCATTGACTAACTCGAATAGGTAGGACTAAGCAACAATGGGGATCATCGTGCACCAGTGCTGCTGAGTGGACCACGTCCCAGGGAGGACAACGAGAGCCACAACAGTCCTGCTAGTATGTCTTCTTTTAAAACTGTTCGCAGAAACATGGCTACTGGTACCTATCTCACCCATTTGTACCCTGAAATAAATTCACTCGTAGCTGGATTTCCGGATACAGGTGTTGAATTTCTTTTTACCTTTAACAAGAGACCATACTGCGATGGTGAAGCTCTGCTTTCATCATGCACTCCGTACTTCAGAATCCAAAAGTATCCTCGACCACGACCAGATGAGCAACCATTGGGGTATCCTGAAGAAGACAACGTTCTTTAGTGAACCTCAAAGTACACCATTTTCCAATTAGATGTTAAACTACAAATCACGTCTCATTGAAATAAAGGAGCTTAAGGACAACTCCTCAATGAGCATTGATAATGGATCTATGAACAAACATACTAGGCTCCATGTCTTTGTTAACGATGACGTTCTTCTCTAACAAATCGAATCGAAACTAATTACTACCACAATGGATTGCTGGCGCCCCGATGGCACGCTTCCATTCAATCAATAGCCATGATTTGTGTACGTAGGAGGCATGCTGGGTTCCGCCCCCACATTCCCATTCTCCAACCGATCGATACTGCGAAAGTGGCTACGCTTCGTTTTCAGTGCATTTTTATACGTTCTACTATGTAGGTGTTTGTTCGGTTTTCTTGAGGTGTGTCTGATATCCACAAATTTCCAGAGGCTCAGTAGGTCGTAGTCGGTAGGCGGTTATGTATGATTACGTGACCTTTGACCCGAATGCATGTAGTACAATGAAAAGTACGCCGATTCCTTCAGATGGAAACAGAAGTGATCATTCTGGATTCTGATGACGAGGATCTTCCCAATAGCGCACCGCAAGCGAATGGTTCTGCTCTTGCCTCTATCGCTATAGTGAATTCGAAGCCACTTGACTTGGGTGCATTAGGTTGGTTATCTTTGTAAAACTCGGAATTTATGGACGACTGACGACTGAACGACGACTGTGACTGTTGCAAAGTTCTCTCTGTGCAGTTTTTTCTCGACTATTAGAACTCAGATTCTGATGGAACTTTTTGAGCAATGTGTATACTTCTTAATGTTTCCACCAGGAATCGGCTCCTTAAATGTCGAGGACGGTGTCCTGAGTAACAATCAAAGCCAACGATATTATGCTACACGTCCTGCAGAGACCAGATCTCAAGACGTGATGTCGCTTATAATCAAGCCGAACATCTCTACACCTAATGCACAGACGGTTTCTTTTCCTTTATATGGTGTTATTAGCATTTTTTTTGTTCTGCAGGCTTCTTATATATGGAGTTGATCTTTGACCTTTAGGTGCTTATGTTCAGGGTACTGTCCCACAGGATAGTCAGCGTCCAAATGTGAGATCGTCCTCGGAAAGAGTTCGCTCAGAACCCCAATTTCGAGAAGAGTATGGCATCGATGCGGCATCGCTCCTTGGTAGCACTCCTATCACTCACCGTTCGGAACATTCACGTCTTTTCCCTGGTCAAATGCAAGTTTTCACAATTCTATTTTTTTGTATAGTGTTCGACTAAGGTGTTGTAACTTTGAATCCTTCAATTTGTAACCTTGTTCCATAAAATTCCTTGTAAACTTTATTTTTCAGGAATTTTTGGTCTAAAAACACAACATCAGCGTCTTTAAATACTGTTAGTTGGCTCTTTTCGTTTAGTACGATCTAGTTCCTAGTGGAAGTATGTGTTTACCTTTCCAGCTTCAGCAACTACCGGAGTCGCGTGTTCACAACTACAACTTTGAAGTTAGCGGCGAGAAATCCAGCGAATCAGATCGTCAGCTATGTCCATCGCTCAAATTCAAATTAAGTGTTGCCTTCTCTTTTTTATAGTGCATCATTAGAGACAAACATCACGACTGCTGTTCGTAGTTTTTTTTGTGTTCTACTTTGAATTCCTACCAGAGGCTTAAGGTTTTGAGTTAAACGAAGTAATGCTTTGAATACGTTTTAGTAGGTGGTCCCTCATCGTTTAAGTGGAGAAAAATCTCGCTGGAACGACTTATGAGTCTGAATTACAACTACAACACCCGTTCAGTCTTTAGTTGCTAAGACGAAAAAGTTCTCCTTAGAACAACCTAGATAAGCTGGTTTATAAAGTTTTTGCCTCAAAGTTTATCAAGGTTGAAATCTGAAATTACAAAATAAGGGGTATGGTGAGGAAAACGACTTTCTGTAAGTACAGTTCAAAAACTGAGAGCGACTTTAGCTCCTTTGGTTAACTTATATAACTGATTGGTCCATTACCATACTCACGTACTGTAACTTCAGTCAATTTGATTGGTAGATACTGAAGGGAATAGATGGTGAAACTAAAAGTGAATCTCATTTTTTTTTCATTACAGTGCCAGTATCCGAATTGTCGTCGAATTGTAAGTGGTAATGTCTCCTTCGTGTGCCATTTATGGGCTCATATTGCTACTTGGAAGGAGTATGATCCGAAATCTGCATTCACCATGCAAATCATCGATGGCACAACAAGCCCGCCACCGGGCAGAAGAGACGATGTGGAAACGCTTTCCACTTGTCCAAGTTGTACTGCGCGATTTCATACTCCATACTTGATGCAGGTATGCGTTCTTTTTCACATTAATTTCATTTATATATGCAATGTAATTTTTACTATAACTTTGGCTGCCAGACGGTAGTCGTTATTTGCCTTGGTTTTTTCTTTCCATGTAGAGTCATGAAAGTAATACTTAGCCGATACTTAGGTATTCGGATGTCTTCCAGTGGATCTAATTTTCGTTATTTTTTTTCTAGATGCTTAATTAAGACCGCATTGCTACTACTTTAGCCCTTCAAACATCATTTTCGTCAAGTTCAACTTGTTTAAAGTTTCATTTTCAAGGTTCACTACACACGATGCCATTCTCGGCAGCCGCAAGCCGTCAACCGTTCTACCTGTGCTATTTGTGAAAGAGATGTACGTTGTTATGTACGACATTATTTTTTTTATGGGTTACTTATTTAGTACTCTTTGTAAAATCCTTCTTTGAAATGAATACGACATAGTGGAGTTATTTATGTATTAGCTGAAGTTCTAGCCGAATGATACGTGCAAATATTGGAAGGAAAGGTTTAAATGTGAATATTGATGGTAACTATTTCTAAGCCCAAGGGGCGTATGGCACAGTGTTGTCAGTGATGCCGGTCACGATACTGTTTCGATCCCGCGCGGGCTCACCAATCCTCTCGCCCCTCCACGGTGAGGAAATTGGTACTGCATTTGTCCAAGGAAAAGTAACTCTCTGCAATCCGCTTGGGAACGCCTAGCCTGGCTATCTCAGTACTCTGGTGGGAATTGACTTGACCAGTATTCTGTGACACTGAAGGTGAAACGGAAATCACCAAGCAGCCGAAGCCATGCGTAAAAGTTGGAAGACCTTACTGGAAAATGGATGAGAGGAAATGATTCGAATGTTTGAGGTGCTGTGATCCACACAGTCGATGTCAAGACGGGTCGTGTAAAATAAAGTGAAAAAATAAAGTTTCTAAGCTTTGTACTTTTCGAATGCATTTGGAGTAAGAGTAGTAACATCTGCAAGGTAGGAGTGTTGTTTCTACGGTGTTCAGTTTTGTGCGGCTATTAGAACATATTTGTTGACACAGAATGTCCTATAACATATTATTTTACTTTTCAAACTTTCTTTTTTTGCAGATTGGAACGGCAAATGCATTACGCACCCATCTCCTGTCTCACGAATCCAATGATGCACCTTACCATTGTAAACGTTGTCGTTATCGATGTACGGTGAGGCTGCACTTGTTCGATCACTTCGTTAGGGAGCACAAGAATACCAGGTATTTTGTTGGTCGAGTTAAACTAGTGCGTATACGTTGCATACCTTTCTTAAGAGGTCATCCTTTCTCAATCTTTTTTTAGCTGCTTAGTTGCTTTGTGGAGTTGGAGCTGTTTGTGCAGTTCCAATCCTGATACGCCCCTTGATCGATATCTACCAAGAATTTTGACTTATAAAACGATTAATAGTCATTTCATCTAAGGTTTTAGATTGCAATGTTCCTAAAAAGTTAAATTGCCCGATGTACGCGCTAGAAATAAGTTTCTTCTAACAAACCCCAATGTTTTTCGATATGAATTTTTTCACAAGTTTATGTTGTTGAAAGCGTATCTCTTTTCCATTTCTCTCTACATGGTTTTTAAAACCAAGGTTTGAATTCGTTGCTCCAGTTATCCTTGAGTATACTGTTATTAGGGTTTCATCTCTGAAATACATCCATTAATATTAGGGATCCATTTTAGGAAGTCAGTAGATCAAAACACACCCTACGATCTGTGTCAGCTTTTCTTTATCCAGTCAAATATTGTCCTTTTCTGGTTATGTAAATGGTTTTCAGCACTCTTATGTGCCCATTTTGTACGTTCACCATTGTTGTGCCTTCATACCAGAGAAAACGGCCTGTTATTCGGGTGACGGAGTTCGTCCATCACATGACAACTCACGAATCCGGTACTACACTTCTATCATTTGTTGATGTATTTTCCAGTTTGTTTTGGCTACCAAAGTTTGATTATAAGCAAAACTAACTTCATTATGCTCATACAGTGCAGGAATTTAGAATATCGTTTGGGTTGTGACAACTGTGCTTTATCGTTTCCAAACGCTATTGATAGACAGAGGCATCGACGTGAACATTCTGCGATAAATCCTAAATGGACACTCACTTACAGGGTGATTTTTCGTGCGAGTTGTTTGGACTACTTTTTATCGTTACCAACTTTGATATCATATCTTTGATACTCCTCCCAGCGGTTTACCGCCTCGTCGTGGTTGGGAGGTGTTCCTGGGTGTCGGAATGCAATGTACAGCGGGGGATTCGTCCACACGGCAGGATCTCCCAAGCCGAGGAGTCCGGCGTTTCCACCAGGAAGCCTAGCTAAGAGTAAACCGATGCCAGGATCTACCACCGTCCTGGTATCAAACTAGTCCCGTGGTGGGAAATCTCTCTCTGATCTACAAGAGCTGCGACTGCTTGCGGTGACGACGACCTAAGGCAGACTTTGGCCTAGCTGACTTCAGGACTCCAGGAAGCCACAATGGTTAAACCAGCAAAACTCTGAAAAAATGGAGATTATGCTGGGGTCCGCACAACCGGTGAAGACGGACCATCCGATTATCCAAGTATTTTTGATTGGTACTGAATGCAAACACTGTTCTGACCAGTAAAAAAGGGTGGATTGAGGACTGTGTAAAAATATTTCATTTACTACATATTCACTTCCTAATGGCTCTTAATGTGTATCATTTCTTTTTTTTACTTTTAGAATCCAGAAACCCGCACACGACCTCGCAGTAAGCTTATACGTCTCGAGCAGAAGTCCGTATATCAGTGCAGCAAATGTGTGGGCACTTCTGAAAGTGGTTCTACTTTTAAAAAGTGCATTAGTTGTGTAACACTTGCGTTTAACGATAGTGTCTATGGTGAGCCATTTGATCAACATGGTTTAATAATCTATCTTCCGTCTAATGTTTTCATGTACTTTGCAGCGAGTTTTCAAACTACCAAGCATGACTATTCATGGTCAAAAGACCGACCTTCTATAAACCTCGCCATAAATAATCGACATATTTATTTACACGTTCTTATGAACTAATCCTGTTAACCTGATGCGTGGTTGGTATACTTGTCGTTGTTGTTGTTGTTGCTGTTGGTCGATGGCTAATGTTTCAGCGATTTCATCTTCCTCAGAGCCGTGCTGTTTCTGTTTCGAGTGAGACTCAATCGTTATGAGTGACTCAGTGAGTCTCATTCGTAACAGCACGGCTCTGAGAAAGGCTAAATCGCCGAAACGTCAGCCATCGACCAACAGTAAGAACAACAAGAGCTGCAACAACAGCTATACCAACCTCGCATCAGCTCAACAAGATTAGTTCATAAGAACGACTACGAACCATGATTATTCATGGTCTAGTGTTAGCGTATGTTTTTGTTAAAGGAAAACGACGCTTGGCAACTGATACGGCACTTCGATATGGCATTGACGCCTTACAATGTAGTCAACGTGGAACGCGATTTCGTTGCAACTGTGGCATGAGCACAAGGAATGGCAATCGAATGGCTCAGCATTTTTATCTCTGCAGGAATAACTTTGACGTATGAAGGCATTTATGTTTTATCTACATTTTGAAATGATAAGCAATCAGTAAGTTTCTCTTTATGTGAAGTTTTGCATTAGCCCATCCACGACCGTACCGATACAAGAGGTATGGGCTGGAGTGTAAGCGTGGGTTTCAACGCATTTTCACTTTGACTATCTCTTTGGTTGCGTAGGCTTTTGTTTTGTTGCATTTATATATCATTGTATAGCTTCGTAACCAGAAATGTTGTGCTGGTCGAGGAAACTGTATTCTTTTCTGAGTAATTTACAAATAGCAGCAAAGACTTAATTCTTTTCGCCACAAATATGGTTATTAGTAGGGGCGTAATAAGGTTTTCCTACTTAGAGCCCTAGGATTTCTCTACTTGTGATTGCAAGCCCGTAGGTCCTATGACAGCTACTTACCTTTTGTATCAACTCAACAAAGTCAACTATTGTTGTTGACAAGTGTACTTTTCTAGTCTCCTTCTTAAGAACCATCATGGACTGAGTGCATTGTTCGCGATACATGTAACACACAGTAGGAAAATTGGGTATATTCTCACGAAGCTAAGGACAAATCAGACGCGCCCATATATGCGTTGAGGTTGACTGGACTAAAGTTGTTAGTTGTTAGAAAATAAAAAGGTATAAAGTTGTCAGTCCCTGTTATATAAAGAAAACTTCATTATTAACACACAATTAAAATACAATTGTAGTTTTAGAATACTCAGAAGTTAACAAGCGTATCTAGGGAATTTTGTACCACTAAGCTTGCACATGAACGCTTTTTGTTAGTGAAATATTGACACTTTATGTAGCTTGACATTTTTAGGTAATCGATACAGATGACGAATTGGCGGAACCAAATGAAGCTGATGAGGCTGAAGATAGAGTAGAGGCCCAACTTTTCTCAGTTCTTCCACGGGTTGGTCGAACAGTGACCAATTCTGAGGTTATGTTTGTGAAAGTCTCCTCGACCTTTTTTACGCCTGTAAAATCATCCTTATTTAAATCGTAAATTGTGGAACATTTCAGAAAGTTGTCGAACGGAAGCGTAAACCTGTTGAGCCGCCTCTTTCGTTATTTGAACAGCAAGTCATCGGTATAAGCAAACCAGAAGATATAAACATTGCGATGATTTTCTTCAGGTAGTTACTGATTCACTAACTTCTCTACACAGTTTTGGGATATCTTGTTGTGTATGCTCTCTACTCTTCCACTTTTTAGGAAGGCTGCTGTCAACGCCCCTCTCTCGAGTATTAAGAAATTCCGAGAGTTGCGGGCCTCCTATGATTTTTGCTAGTTCGGTCCATTGTTGCATATTGAGTAAAATTCTTATCGACGTCGTTATCAATATAGCGTTATGTAAACGTTTATGTTTGCGGGTGCTTATAGAATATTTAGCAGGCGTGTTGCTTAAAGGGTACTTTCAGTTCGACTATTTTTTGTCATTTTTTCATCTTAAGGAAAGTGTGTTCTGATCTATGTAAATTTCCTAAGCGCTGATTCTTGAACAAATGTTTGTTCCATTTTTTTTCACGTTTTTTACGGAAACGTGCTTTTCAATCGATTGTAAATTGCATAACGGTGTTTTTTTTCTCATACTTTCTACTTTGAACGTTTGGCGTAGTCCATATTTCATCTTCTTCTTTACAGTCTGTATGGACCGATACCATAATCTTGAAGAATATACTGACGTATTCTGGACAGTCTTCTTCTTACTAGATCATTTGGCACATATCTTATGTGCGTTGTGTTACTTTTGCATAGTAAACTCTTTTTCACGGTAGTCTTTGATGTTATTATCACTGTAAAGTACCAGAAAACCTACATATAATTTGCATCCTGCAGGTAGTTGCCGACACTTAAGCTGGGGTTGATGAGTACAGTTGAGATGCAGGATACATTTTTTACATTGTGGGTCCTGCATTCGAATGGTACTATCACTCTGAAACTCTTCAAGAGGTTGTGGCAAAGTGTTTGTTGATCGTCAACAGTAAGACATAGAATGAATGTCGAAACCATTCTAAGTCACCCAATGGTGCGTGTTCGGGATCGCGAAATGGTCATGAAGAAATTGAATGATCTGGTTAAGGATGGGAGTAACCAGTTAGTGGTAAGGTTGATTTCATCTGCATGACTATTCGTGCCCGGTATCGAAAGTGGTTTTTAGGTCATATCTGATTTCGATTTCACTCTTACGCGATTCTTCGACGAGAATAAGGAGAGGTGTTTGAGTAGTCATGCGGTCCTAGATCACCTGCTCTTTGCCATGCATCCAGAAATGGAAGAAGAGGTGTCGTAAATTTTACTTTGCTTAATTATTTGACAACAGTTTTTACGAAAGTATAATATAACTGTTAAAACGTTCGCAGTGATATGCATTGATCTCAGACCACTTTCTCCGCAGTTTTTTCTTCCGCAACATAGGATTTTGCTGCAAAACTTTTTATATTAGATCTCTGGCCTTCTCTGAGCAGTTATATCAGACGTCCAAAAAGAAGCTGCGATTTTTTACTTACCATATAGGCAATGAGGAATTGGGCTTACACGGTCACCACCGCAAATTCTCACGAATATGTGAAATGGAATTGTTTGGTTCCTTCATGAGTATTGCCGTTTAGATCCGAAGAAGAAACGCTAAATATATGGCAATAGAGTATGATCCAGTGCTGACAAGAGAAGAAAAGGTTCCATACATGATAGAGTGGTGAGACTAGCATCTGATTTTTATTGCGATCATAAACGCAGTTAACCTTGGGAGTGATCAATAACTTGCTGCTCTTTTGATGAGCACCAACGAGGTCGTTTTATACTAATTGGTAAGAGTAGCTGACGTTCCAGCAGATTCCGCATTCTTCACAGCTTAGAAAGGTCAAGTTAACTGCAACCCAGTCAACCCAACACTTCCATGACTTCAAAAGGAGAACCACGATACCTAGATTTCAATCGTGGAAAGAAAACAGCTTCTTAACACACACACCGTTTTGTTTAAGTCTTCCACTGAGTATTCCACATGGAGACCAACCGTACAGAGTTCATATGAATAGGTAATGCACCCACCCCTCTCACGTTAAAATATCACTTTGAGATATTGTGTGATATCACGCGTGTTGACGACGCATCCTTGCTTACTGTTCATTTTTGGATTGATGGAATCGATCTACAATGCCTCGAGGGTTTTACGCGCTAAACTTTTAGATCCTTCTGTGAGGATAGTGACTTTCGGTTCGAAATCGCCGTCATATCTATGTTTTTATGCGCACCTAGTAATGTATTTTGTTTGACCTTTTTCTTAGCGTCTTTGTATTCCTTTATACGGTCATGCAATGGTCTACGTTTAACTGTGTACGTGATCTCTTCCAAATTATGCGAGGACGAATATATTGGTAAGAAGCGTGGACCACTATGTTTCCGTATAGAAGAACACCTAGACGGTAGGCATAAACTTAAACAAAGTACTCCACTGAGCACGAGTATGGCATAAGGACATAACAAAAATTTCGGAGCGGAGGTTACTATTCTCACACCTCGCATAAGAATCTAAAACCTCAGTAGGAAGAACTGTCGAGGCATTTTCAATTAGTTCCATGAATCCAAAGGAGGAATGCCTCGTTATCACGCGTGATCTCACACGATATCTCAGAGTGATATTGACTCCTCCATGTTATGAAGAAAGCGGAATTCACTGAGACGTTGGCTAATGTAAATAAGTAGTATAGTAATCACCTCGTACACGCTTATCAAGAAAGCGGCGAATTATACCTTTTTAAGTGTTTTTTGTGATTTTACGTGAACATCACCTTCAAATACTATGCGAATTATAGCACTTCTTTTTAATTTATTTCTTTACAATCTTCGTATATAAAAATGTTCCAGATTTGGCTGTAGCATGAGTATTTTGCCTTCTCGACTTTGGTTCAGCGCTAGTGAAATTGATCCTTTTAGAAATGTTGGAATAGTTTTGCTACACCTTCCTCTTTTCTGCTATACACTCAGCGTTTTTGGACCAGCAAAAACATTCCTTACGCAAGTCTAGTGTCAAACTACCGATATCTGAGACAGGATTTGTTTCTCTTGGTGCAGAGTCCAATCAGCGACCGTCCGACACATCTCCAACTACTGAACAATAATTCACTGTTTTCTTGATGAGCAGATACGAAATTGTTGTTACGCTATTTATGCGTTCACAAGAGATGACGTTTCGGTGGTTTCGCCATCTTCAGTGCCTGGAAAGGTCAAGTTGACACGCCATCTACTCAGTTAGGCACGTTCATAACCTCCGCTGATAAAAGATGGTACTTGGATTTTTATTCGCATATTAAACAACTTCTTCTAAGCACCGTTTTATTCTTTATATGTCCTCTAGTTATTGTTAAAGATCAGCCGCACAGAGTCTTACATGGGTAAGGAATATGCGTGGCAGACGCGACTACAAAGCAAAATCATTGCATTTCCTACGCCTAGTACCCATCGTCCACCCACCACGAAGAATTGTGCCGGTCCGAACATAATTTCGAAATGGTTGGTAATTTAATAGTTGAGGAAAGCCTTTCCACCAAAACCCATGCTAGCTTTTCAATGTTGTCACCACTTGCCGAGTTGTGACTGTTTTGTTGCCACGACGGCAGTGGTTCGTAGCACTGGTTCGCTCTTAGCTGGGCATCTGGACTGATGAAAACGCTGATGTGTTTCTAAGTTTGACTTACATAACACTTCTGCATCAACGAACACCTGAACTTCTGCTCTTGCATTAAGCCATTGGCACATACAATATTTCTTCCAGGTGGAGTGCAGCGCATGAAAATTACATAATATCAGGTATTCATCGCGATGATATCGACCGCTTTGTCATGGATGCCAAGATCGAGTTAAGGTAATGTAAGCTCGTAAGCTCCCTTCGAAATTACTTAGCAGAATTCTAGTTCCGAAATTTCGATAGAACTGTTTATAGACATGGAGCCAGTGGTCTGCTGCAGCTTCTCGCCAATGCTTCTATTCCATTATTATTATTTTCCGCGGGAGTTGGTAATGTGATTGATGTTTTTCTTCGTCATCAACTAGGATCAATACCAAACAACGTGCATATCATATCAAATATGTTGTTATTCAATGAGAAGGTATTTTTCACGCTTTTAAACAGTTTGTCATTAATATGTCAGTCGAACTCGCTTCTTATAGGGTATAGCTAGTTCATGTTCAGAACCGTTGATCCACGTATTCTGTAAAGACTCCTCAGTGATACCCAAAGATGCTCAGTTCTTTGACAACGTAACCCATCGGTATTCTAAGAACAGTTTATAATATAAAGGTAGTATGCTTTTAAAATAGTGCATCTAGTAAGAACGTTTTGCTGCTCGGTGATAGTCTCGGTGACTTACATATGGATATCGGTATCGCTCATGCTGGCACTGTGCTCAAAATCGGCTTTCTCAACAACAAAGTAAATATTATTTATTTATCATTAGCGTACAAGTACAGTGGATAACAATAATGAGCGATAAGTCACTATCTAAAACACATAAGCGACAAGTGGTAGAGCCGTATTCACAATTTGGAACAGAACCTGTACTCTAATCGAAATTGCATTACAATGTCATGACGGAGTTTTGTGAGTAAATAGGAAAGCAGCGAGTGGATAGCAGTCTCCTTGAAGTCACCAGAAACACTACGTTTAAGATATGAAGTGCAGTACGTCACGTAAAAAGTGCGATATTGCTATAACTTCCTATCAGAACCACCACATTGAATCAAAGCACGTTTTATAGGTGGATGAACTCCTCGGGTCATACTTGGACGGCTTCGATATTGTAGTGGTCGAGGATCAAACTACAGATGTTCCAGATTTTATCTTACGTACTCTTATCATGCATTCTTAGACGATTAATTGTTATGAGCAAAACGTTATTATACATAAAATTCCTTCAGGGAGAAAGAAAAGCATGTGATAAATCTTTGTGTTCAATCAGAAAAACATGCCTTTTCTTCAAAGGAAGTTAATAGTTGAAAACATGCTTTTAAAGACCACTTCGATTTCTCTAGATGTACTAGTCAAGTTAAAATTACCTCCGTTAATATTTAGCAATATCCGAAATCCTTATGCTGAAAAAGGTTAATGAAAAAATAAAAGACAAATACATAGGTATTTCTGAAAAGTGAACAATAGGAAACCGAAAACGTCAGAAAACTGGACCGCTATGAAGAGGAGGGAAGTAAAAATAGTAAAACATTACAGATGCTCCTAATCCAAAAACCATTAAATATAAAAAGTCAGAAATTTTAAGTGTACCGGTCTGTGAGCGGCATTTCTTACAAGACTGTGGAAATTCTTCTCGACTTGAATGCCGCGAGCTATCGGTGGACACAGGAGAGCGATAGATAGATAGTGGTGGTAGGGAATCTATGGAAAACCTAGGCACATCTTGCACTGCGATTCCTTTCACCTGTAGGAATACAAGAGAACGACCTGTCATCTTAATCAAATACAGAAGAACAACAAGTAGTACTTTACCTCTTCTATGTGTTCCATGGTGTTGGTACTGATCTGCTTAGTAGGGCTGTAACACAAGGTCCGGTCTAAAACTCAGTCATAAATTTATAGAAGCCGCGCCAAAGCAGCGTTGCTGTGGATTGCTATGGCAGAGATTTGAATATTCACCAGTTTGGCAATTGTAGAAAATGGGTGTAGACGAACGTGGTATCGGAAAGGATTTCAAGGAGTCGCTCTGCGGACCATGTTCAATCACCTCCAACATATACCGCATTTTGGAATACTGTTGGTCGTACAAGTTTAGTGCTTGGATAGAAAAAACGGGGAAGAATATGTGTTCGTAGGTTTAATAATCGAAGAAGTTACGAATCATAAGAGCTAACCCAAGAAGTGGGGTAACTATTATGACATTAGAACATGATAGATCTACTAGATTACACGGAAGAATTAATGGGTATCACGCTTGTGATAGAGTTGGACATATCCTATGTACCTTCAAGACGTTGTAGATACAGTTTGTAGCTTCAGAATCAAATGAATGTGTAGGCATTTTCAAATGCTCCATAAGGGGAGAAATCTGAAATTCACATTTGAACAACTGGAAAGTACTAGAACATAATACTTACATGGATGGCCAAGTCTCACTAATTGTTCGGATTCCAGCAAAATTTTCACTTTTTAGAGTCTCGCTGGTTTAACCGTTGTGGTCCCTTCGAGTCCCAAAGTCAGCCAAGCCAAGGTCTCCACCAGGTCCTCACCACCATAGGCAATCGCTGCCCTTGTGAATCAAAGGGGGATTTGCCACTACGCCACTAGCTTGATACTAGGACGGTGGTGGATTTTGGTATTGGTTTACTCTTAACTGGGTTTCCTGATGGAAACGCCGGACTCCTTCTCAGCTTGGGAGTCCCTGCCTGGGTGATGAATCCCTCCGCTGTGCATCGCAGCACGACACACGGGAACACCTCTTAGCCACGATGAGGCGGTAAGTCGTTGGGAAGACTAAAAAATGATGGCAGTATGAAGTCAAATCCGAAATAAAGTAAGGTAGGAGTACTTGATAAATTACGATTTTAAAACCATGAGCAAGAGAACCACGTAAAATGCAATGGTCATTGGAACTCGTACCTCCCTGCCTTTGTAATATGCTTTGACGATTTCCATTGCTGAGCGCAAGAACTGTCCATCCTCATCGGGTTCCTCGTCTTCGTCCATCATTAAAGAACTGATAATAAGCATTTTAAGAGATTACAATGATAGGAACTACTTTAACTACACAGAAACAGACCACCTTTTCATTTTTCATACATACAACAAAAGGTTGCCATTTTTTCGGGTGTTACTTTAAACAGGTCAATACATGAATCTTCTAATCATTAGTTTGTAAACTAATAAACAGATGGCTATCAAAAGAAATGTGAGATCACCTAAGAGGAAACAAAATAATATTTGCTTAGGACATGATGTTGCATCGATTGATTTATGAGGGCGTAAGGCCACTTGGCGCTTACGCGCACAATCATGGCGGCAGCACCACCTAGACCGGCACCTAAGCCTGGACGAGTGAGGGTCTATAGAGCTCTTTACAGTTATGAAGCGAAAACGGTAAGTATTTGGTAGAAAATCGATGGCGATTATGATAGAATACAAACGGTAAAAGATGGTATAATTGTAAATGAATCTTAAATTCTAGGATCAAGAGATGTCATTCGCAGAGGGCGATATACTTTATGTGAGTGATCGTGGACCTAACGATGATTGGTTGCCGGCAACATGCGGCGGCAAGAAAGGACTAGTGCCAACGAACTACGGTGAGCAGCTGACTCGGGCATAGTTTTCTAGTAATTACCTTGCTTTAAGGCGTTCTCGTTTCTAAACGGTATGTAGTATTGAAGAATGCAGTATTAAATGACGATCCTGGACGCGTGTAGTGGTTAGAGGTGCGCTGTAGTACACAAGTCGTCTTTGATTCGACTTAGCGCCCTGATCACCAAGCATTCCATCCTTCCGGGGACCGCTACTTGATGACAGACCTGTCTGGGAGCATAGCAGCACTAACAGGATACAAGCTATTACAAATCAGTGTGTAGGTCAGACATTATTCAACTAACTTTAGAAAAAAGGAGAAAGATCTCGGTGTTGATCAATTCCTGAGGGATGCGCCATGCATTCGCCTTCATTAAGCATCGTTGGAGGTGATTGAATGCATATCTGGCCCTCAACACTTGCAGAACATACCGCTGTATCAAGGCAGTGCTGCTATCCTCCCAGACAAGTGTGATACCAATTTGCTGACCTCGGAGGGATGGAAGACTTGGTGGCCATGGGCGCGGGGATCGATTCCACGTGTGTGTTGCAGAGCTCGTGACTCCAACGGTGCTTAGTGAGGTCGAATATGTGGTGCATTCCTCAGGGATTGGCTCTTTTCCCATAGCTTCACCGTTTGTCCGTTTATTAGAATATGATGTGGGGGTAGGCTAACGTAAAACCTATGAAGTGTTTTGTCGTCTGATCGGTACATTAAATGGATGGCATAGAGCGACACAGCATTGATTCCAGATTTATACCGTGAGAAGTTAAACCTAAAATTAGTGCTATTACGTGTATATTTTTGGTTTAGTTGTAAGTGAGAATGTGGTGGAGCTGTCGAATCCACTACATGAAGCAGCACGACGAGGGAATTTGTTATTTCTCATAGAATGCATTAATAACCAGGTTTGTCCATTTTAAATTTTCATTTGGGCTTTACTCAACGCTTTTAGTATCTTCAGTTCAATTTTATACTTTGAATGACTTAAACACAAGGGTTTTGTGTCAGTTTAGGGCACAATATCGATGCCATTATTACGAATGTAAGGGTTTATGTTAGGTTTCGGTGAATACTCTAGACAAATCTGGCTCAACAGCTTTATATTGGGCATGTCATGGTGGCCATGCCAATGTAGTGAAGTATCTTCTCGAACTTCCAGGAATCACCACCTCGTCACAGGTATTACTGTTTAACACGTTTCACATTTGTATCACTTCATGGAATTCTATTAAGGTGGTACTACTTGTGTGTTTGGTTGTTCACTATGAAATGTCCGATTTCACTAGACGAAGGTCTCATTTTTTTAAATGAATTTCTCAAAATCTTCGTTCCTGAGTTCTCTGGTTTTGCATTATAGTGTAAAATAGATTCTCCGGAGATTCGAGATTCTTTTTATTAATGTTCTCGTTATATACTGACTTCTATATATTGTGATATTGAAAAAAAAGAGTGGAGGAAGCACCAGAAAACAGTCTTGAGCATTCTCTTGGTACGGATTTAGACATCGTTAAAGTTGTCCTTAAAGTATGATGGAGATAAGAGGCCTGAAGACGAGAATGGGCGAAAGGCTCATTGTGATTGCTGATGGCCATTTTAATCCCTTAGTCCAAGGTGTGTATAAGTTAGTCAAAAGACGAAAACCAGAGCACTCATCGCTTTAGGTTTGTTTTATGATTATTTTGCGTAATTAAAACCGTTATTTGATAGCAGTTTGAATGTGAGTGCAGATAGATTGTGTACCACAAAAGACGATGTCTTCCGCAATGTTGGATGAAGATGAAACAAGGAAACAACTTCTGAAGCCAAGTTTGCATCAAAAGATGGTCACGATGACTTCTTCACGTTTGCTAGATGAATATAACATTTTTGAATCTTTGTGAAACTATTATACCAAGAAGTATCCTCAAGAAATTGGTAAAAGTGCTATTCGGCTAACGTTTCGAATTCTTCGTCCTCTTCAGAGCCAGGTTGATCAGAGTCGATAGTCAACGGTTCTTTATAGTCGATATGGTGTCTTCGCCGTCGTATCTAAGCGGGTCCTCTTCAGAATGAGAGGACCTTAACCAGCGTTCTTCTATATTAGACGGTTGTTGTTGATAGTCACTATCCGTTGATAATAATTTGTTGGTCTTCTACTCAATCTCACAGAAACGATGCCCATGAGGAAAGGATTGGTAACGTATGCTCCATTCAAGCTCAACGGAACGAATATCTCCAAATGCTCCAGTTACGTCTATCTAGGTCGGGAAATCAACATGATGATCGACATAGCTCCAGAGTTGAGCAGGAGGAAACGAGCGGCTTCGAGAGCCTTCAAGAGCATCAAGGATGTAGTGAGGAGAGCAAGAGCGCCCGACTCCTTGCCCACCTTTTCAACTCAGCGGTACTTCTTGCCGTAATCGTCAGAAACCTGGTCGCTGCGTAAGCAGGATGAATGGTCACTCAGCGTTATCGAACCCGCAGTCGAAAGGACGATGCTAGTAGTATCCCGTTCCACACAAGTAAGGGATGGGATCCGAAGCCCTACCCTAGGTCAAGGATTAAGAATCACAGACGCCGTTCTATACGCTAAACTGTCGAAGATAAGGTGGACCGAACACGTAATGCGTATCAATGACAACCGATGGACGAGAGCCGTTAGAGGATTCCTCGGGATAGCAAATGTACTGCAGGAAGACCATGGAACCAGTGGCCAGAGTTTTTCTTCGCTATCCCTAATTCCTGGAACGAATTCTCAATGAGTCCCTAGAGCGAGCAGAACACACTGGGCTACTCTTGCATGCGAAAAGAAGAAATGGAAGATTTACTGGCGCTCGCTCGATTCACTCGACGATCAATAGGACTATAGGTGTTGCAGGTCATACCGAGGTTAAATGAGTGTTGATTTATGAAATATTGCTTTGCTGTACGCTATGTGCTAGTTAACATAATACTGGCTGCTGTAGGATGGATTATCCATGGAAAACAAGTGATTATTAACAGATAGTCATTATCAACAACAATCGTCCCGTATAAAAGAGCGCTGCCGGGTGAGGTTACCTTATTTAAGCAGTGCTTTACTGAAGAGGGTCCGACTCGATACGATGAGGAAGACACCACATCGAGAAGACGAACGATTGTGGAGTATCGACTCGAACCATCGGCCATGACGAAGACGAAGACGTCGAAACGTTAGCCTAATAAATCTATTTGCCAACCTCGTGTTAGCTTAATATTCTAAGAAAGTATTGGTGATTACTATCGAGATTAAATAACGGTCGGTAAATCTCATCATGGTATTCAATGCACTGGTTACTTTAGGTCTTATTACGTTTCACTACAACGCCGGCATTCATGTTTCATAGGTCATGGTCCATAGTTCATATACGGCAAAAACGAGTTCTTATACGCCAATCCTTTTCCCCTTTTCTAGTCGTCAGATTTGTCACCAACAATTTACGACTTCCTCATATATTTTGACTTCTTTCGTGAAAAAAAGTTCGCACATCAAGAGGCAGTCACAAATTCCTTCGATGACTTCATCAGAATCAAAAATGCAAACTTCTACGAAAGGCGCGTGTGGCGCAGTGGTCGGAGGCGCCTTGCAACACACACGTGGAATCGATCTTCGCCCCCATGACCCACCAAGCCTTTCATCCCTTCGAGGTCGGCAAATTGATGAGATTGGCAAAAAAAACTAGACTTGTATGAGAAGATAGCAGCACTGGTTCGACACACCGGTAGGACAGCGCGACTCATTATAAAGGCCAGATATGCATTCAATCACCTCCAACGATGCTTAATGAAGTCGAATGAATGGCGCATCCCTCATGGATTGATCAACGCCGAGAGCTTATTCCTTTACTTTTTAAGTTCCTACATGGGTGGAGTGTCTAGTGTTGTAACACGTCCGCAAAAATGTTTGGACTATAATTTTTCCTAATATCGTTGATAAAATTATACTTTAATAACGTTATACACTTAAACTTCCCGTCCAGAGTCGGACATTTCATCCTGAACAGCCTAATGCTACAAAACGCAGCTAGGGCTCTGGATCTTTCTTTTTGTGATTATTTGTATTCCTACGGAATAAAAAAGAAGCCACTTTGTATATGAAATCGTTCTAGTTTATGTTAGAATCATTAGAATAAGCTGGGTGACACGCCCCTACATGCGGCGTCATGGCGAGGACATAAGGATTGCGTGCAGTTGTTGATCGACAGCGGAGTAAACTGCTGGGTTCGAAACCGGGATCAGAAGCTGCCAATTGATATCGCTAAGGTAATAATCACTCTTCAGGAACAATCTTCAACACAGTTCATCACTCTCCAGCTCTGCGAACACCTGCACATTTTATTGGTTTTCGTATCACAAACATCTTCTCCCCACTCTAAAGCCGTCCATACGCCTAAATGAGGGTAACCCTTAATAATATTTACATTGTTATACCTTTTTATTTCCTGCCTACTATAATTTCGCGGCAGAGTACTAAGCGAAATATAACCATAACGTTGCTGAGATATTTGCAAAACTCTGGACCGCAGGTGTCTACGGTGGGGAACGAACGCGCTATTGTCCTTTCCGGGGAGTAACGCGTTCACCACCACACCATGCGGGTCCTTTTTTTCGCCTGTCTCTCAGGTATTTCTATCGATCTTTGCCACAGCAATCACCCGTCAGCGGGATTGATCTGGGACGCTCAAATCGGCATAGAACCCAGTTAAGCTGCGGTTGTAGTTGAAATCACAATGTTATACCTTTTTATTTTCTGCCTACTATAGTTTCGCGGCAGAGTACTAAGCGAAATACAACCATAACGTTGCTGAGATATTTGCAAAACTCTGGACCGCAGGTGTCTACGGTGGGGAACGAACGCGCTATTGTCCTTTCCGGGGAGTAACGCGTTCACCACCACACCATGCGGGTCCTTTTTTTCGCCTGTCTCTCAGCTATTTCTATCGATCTTTGCCACAGCAATCACCCGTCAGCGGGATTGATCTGGGGCGCTCAAATCGGCAAAGAACCCAGTTAAGCTGCGGTTGTAGTTGAAATCACAATGTTATACCTTTTTATTTTCTGCCTACTATAATTTCGGGTGATTGCTGTGGCAAAGATCGATAGAAATAGCTGAGAGACAGGCGAAAAAAAGGACCCGCATGGTGTGGTGGTGAACGCGTTACTCCCCGGAAAGGACAATAGCGCGTTCGTTCCCCACCATAGATACCTGCGGTCCAGAGTTTTGCAAATATCTCAGCAACGTTGTGGTAATATTTACATTATCACTCACACCGAGTCGAGCCTATTGGACTATCTTAAAGAAGCAACCTTTTAACGCCGTACGTCACATGTTACTGGGGAATATGGCCGCAGTATAATTTAAAGAATCCAATCATATAGACACTGTATATGGACATCCAAGACTTAGGTGATTTCAAGATCCAGTTTGGAAAATATCACCCGTTGGTTCGTGCGAATTTACACAAATATTTCCATTTTTGTGCATTTCTCTTAGATGTCACCTAAACTCGGATATATATATATAGTGACGGAGCCAAAAAATACACGTTAACTGCTATTGACAATTCATTAAATACCATAGAATATGTACCTCAGAGAAGGGCGCGTGTAATACAGTGGTTGGAGGAACTCTGCAATACACATGGGATTGATCCTCGCGCCTCACCAGTCCTTCCATCGCTCTGTGGTCGGCAAATTGATGCCAGACTTGTCTGAGAGGATAGCGGCACTGACTCGATACATCGGTAACCCACCTTGAGTCACTGTAAAGGCCAGATATGTATTCAATCACCTCCAACGATGCTCAATGAAGTCGAATGCATAACGCATCCCTCAAGGATTGATCAGCACCGAGAGCTTTGTTCTTTATCCTTCTTTATGTCCCTCATCCACACTCTTCGTGTGATGATTTCTCTGATAGTCAATAAGGCAATAGGCAGGTGTGGAGTCGCCTACAAGAAGTAAACTTCAAGTCCTCTCCAAAACAGATTGTCAAGCTACCTTTGACTGTAGTAAAACCACACTGAACAGCCCTGTAAGCTGCCTATAGGTATGGTCTCAGTAGAACTAGGAATACGATCTTACACAAAAAGTTTGGTGCCTGTATTTCCTTGCTGCAACAGTAGATACTCGGTTGCTCCGGCTTTTAATACGGTGAGTGGAGAACCACTACTTCCCGGATTTCTATGGAGTTGCCCATTCAGCGATCTTAACCTTGTCCTGGGATAAAGGTGAATTCGATGGACTATGCGGTTTTCTTTTTGTGTCGTATTGACATATACCTTCTGTCCCTCGAGAAAATAGAACCCATAGGACAAATCTAAAACACAACAGGGATGAATGAAGCCTTTGCTCATGTCCACTTTAGTCACTGGATGATTAGTAGTTAGGACAAGTGATACAAGTGCCATGTAACTCAAGTGATATGGTTGGTCATTTTTCATGATTAAAACTAGCGATAGTGCAGCAGTAAAGGTTTGGATTATTCACAACTCCATAGCATATTTCATGTCCGTTGAATTCTTTCACATTTGCAGAACTTTATTTTTTTAAAAGCTTTACAAACCTTGTAATTGTTATAAGCTTTTAGGACGCTGAAATAGCAGGAATACTCGATAAATCAATGAAACGTGACACTAGGAACGAGGAGTGTGAAAACGAATACGAATCTGGATCTGATCAAGACCAATAGCAATAACCAACTTCGAGTCTATGTATGAAATTATCAAACTAACAACGATGATTAGATAATAGGAATAAAAGCTGTTGAGTCTGGAGCACTGACACTAAAGTATGAAAGTGATCCAACCAAGAATAAACATGACACCACCTATAGGAGTGAATTTTCGCGTCGATTCTTGACCAGCAATGCTGTAATGGTAACATGGCCCACAGAACATGATGATGCCGCCTAAAACCACGTGGTTAGAATACCAAGGAAAAAACAGCTCGACATTTGTTAGAAACGATTAGAACTGACTATATGGTACTTTTGCGACACTAGTAACAGTTATTTTCATTAGCAGTTTTAATGGCCCACGAGCGTCGTAACAACGGTCCCCAAAGTGGATATAAATGGACTTACTATACTATTTGTTTAAAGAAGTGGACGTTCCCGAGGAATTCATTTTCCTCAGGAGCCTAGAAAAGTCGAGCAGACTGCAATTTAGTCACCCAAATATCTTCATAACAGCAGAAAAACACGAAACCTATATTTCAATATTAATATAATTAAGTTCAAATTGGAAACAAAGTAGCATCTGAAAACAATAGAGACAAAGAAGCTATTTTGCTTGCAATACGACCGAAATTTGCGTTTGGTGGTTTTTCTGTTGAGGTTATGAAGGTATTTTGCTGACTAGATTGCACTTGACCTTTCCACGCTCTGAAGAAAGTGAACTCCCCAAAAACTTCAGCTACTCTTAATAAATGCTATAACAACAACCTCATGGGTCTACATCAAGAAAACAGCGAATTACTCATGAAGACCAGAGTTAAAAGAAAGCCGGTCATGGGAATATATGGACTTACTCAGGAAGACTGCACTTGTTAAATATGGGTATCGCGCTTTTGGTGCAGCTAAGATTGCCAAGGTGTGCACGATGTGATGTAGGGATGCTGTTTCGAAAGCTTTCTTTCTCCGTACATCTATCGTCATGTCATTGCCAATCTCTGAAAATTGTAAGTTATAGTGTTTGTGGTGGTTACAATTCCAGATGGTAGGAAAATTTAAAGTTACCAAATGGTGACAGTACTTTAATCGTAATCTTTTAGGAGAGTTCTATACTAATCACATGACTCCGCATAAAAATTTGTGTGCTTGAAGTGTACAACAGTACTGTATAATTATAACAACGCAAAAATGCCTTCAGGATACATCATATGTATATGTACATATATATAATATGCACACGTAAATACATGCACATATCCATATATGTATATATATATACATATATGTATACATGTATACATATGTATATGTGTATGTATGTATATGTGTATGTATGTATATATGTATATGTGTATGTATGTATATATGTATATATGTATACATATCCATATATATATATATATGTATATACATATAAGCAATACTAGAAGCTTTTGACTTTACGCTTTGCTTTTTATTGATGCGGAACCAGACCTTTAATTATGCCACTGGTTTTAACTGTGAACCAAAGATCCGCAATGTTTAATAGTAACCTGCTAAGTTTCTCAACAGAACTGACTGTTAGATGACGACCTCCAGATTATTCTCTACACGGATACGGCAGGTAAACTAAAGTGCAGTGTGACAACTTTGCAAGCTCCCGAAAGGAAGATCGACAGGCGCCAATATAACACACAAGACCAAAAGGGTTTTTCACCAAATGACAATGACATTTTTCAATTACCAGAGAACTTGACGAATTGAGAACTTCATACGGTTGCAGAAGACTTTACTTTATCGCACAATTTTCTATATGTGATTTCTATGGAATACTCCTTCAATTCCAGATACGTTCAAATATATTCAAAATTCAATTCAAAGATTTCCAAGAGTTGAAGTTCAGGTCCTTAAAGTTAACAACGCATGCGCAGCAACCCAAAAACAAGCAATACATTGAGGAACACTATCGTGCCATACTGGATGCAATCGCGACGGTTCAACTGCAAACGTAACCAAGGTACAAGCCTTTGCAAAAAAAAATTGAAATCAAACGTCGCATAAACAGCAGAAAATCAGAATTTCGTCTTGGCAAAAGAGGGAGACCTCTACCTGATTGGGAAAACCCTTCAACATAGGAATAGGAGATAGCAATCAGGACGAGCACGAATGAGCAGCAAATACAAAGGGCAAGGGGAACTATTATTCTGCGCTTCCTGTAAAGATCACTTTTCAGGAAAAAAAAAACTGTCAGTTGAAATAAGACTAAACTGTCCTCCATAATCTCCTCACCAGATCTTCCTGCACATGGACTTCTTCGAAGGTAGCAGCCTCACCGTTAGAGAAGGGATCGGAGTTAAGAGTCATATATAGTACACTATACATTCCTATAAACTGAGGATGGTACTTGTCAAATCCGCACGTTCATTCTTCCAACAAAGTCTTTTACAATTTCTGAGTAAAACTCGTACTACTAGAGCAGTTTGCTCGCGAATGTACTAGTCCATAAGAGTACCACTATGATGCAGCCTTTCTCTTACTCAGATCTAAAGATGACCCGTTTTCACATGCCGTGAGGGTCCCAGTTCTTCTGTTCGTTTTGCTATACATCCATCACCCACACAGTGCTCGTCTTCGCGTATGAGATCGGCTTCGGCCTGAAGATATGATGTGTGCTCTCCATACGGACATGTTAACACTCTTACTGATTTTTTCGGTTTATGGAACCCTATGGTAGCCACGCTAGGCAAGGTCTTCATCACAAGTAGTCGCAAGACAAAAAAACGATGGAATGGGGTCGAAGATATAGTTATAAAGAAGACAGCGTACTATTTTAACAGTTATTCATAAATGAACAAATAGGAAAAAGACTAGGAGATCACTTCTGATGACAGTTTCACTTGTCTTACCTGTAGTCCCACTGATCGTCGAGCTACTCCAGTGTACGCCAGTAAACCTTCCATTTTTCCACGTCGACTGTAAGAGTAAGCCAGTGCTTTCTGCTCACTATAGAAATTTGTCGAACCTCATGCCTCTGTTCTAGGGTTTTCGTGAAGAACTCTAACCATCGGGTCGGTAGTCTTCCTGCAGTACGTTTGACATCCCGAAGAATCCAGTCACTAACGGCTCTTGTCCATCGGTTGCCGTTCAAACGTATCACGTGTTCGGCCTAACTTACCTTCGACGTACAGGGCGGCATGTTTGCTTTTTGATCGTTCACGTAGGTCGAAACCTTGGCTCCCCTTCCTTCACTAGTGTGACACGAGATACTCATTATATCGCCCTTTCTACTGCACGTTCTATAACCTGAGTGGTTTTCCATCCTGCTCACTCGGCTATCAGCTCTTCACTACATCGTCGATGCTCTTGAACGCTAAGCCACTCGTTTCCTCGTGCTCAATTAATTCGCTCATTATATGATTTCCTGACCTAGAAAGACGTAACTAGAACATTCGGAGATAATCAATCCATTGAGCGTGAATGGGCTACACGTCACCAATCCACTCCTTATGAACATCGTTTTTGTGAGATTTAATCGAAGAATAATGTTTCCACAGACGTTATCAAAGTCGGCCAGCATTCGTTCCCTTTGGCTAATGTTTGGTGTTGTAAGAACAGTGCCACCTGTACAGAGTAAAGAAAACAGTGGAAGGGAGACTTTGCTGCATGATTCATGAAGGAGTACCGAAACATCAGGGCGCGAACCAACGGATTAAAGTTCGCAACTGTACTGTTTTTCCAACAACTGATGAATTTCCACTATAACTACAGTAGTTCGAATTTTCAACACTATCGCAGCAGGCACATACACGAACAATACGTTCGAAAACTTTCTGGTGCTGCTCGATGAAATCTTTAGAAAACAGTCTACAAGGGAAGATCCTGCAAAGAAAAGGAAAAAAGAGAAAGGCTAAAAGCAGACAATGCGTACACTTAAGCATAACACACAGATTTACTAACTATGTGATCCATAGGCTGCAAGCGCAACGGCTACCGCACCAGATAGTCCAGCAATACGAATAATAGGAGACATAGCAGTACAAGAAGAAGAAGGATGATGCTGAACAGCAGAAGCGATTCCGGGAGACGTCTTCTTCGGTAACAATGGCAGCTCGGGAATCCACTCGAGAAGTGAGCCGATCTGAGCAGATAATGTTTTCATCGCCATCGTTTTCTTTTTTTTTTACTGAAGTCCGTACGAACTATAATTACAACCTGAAAATGCAAACTAAACTCAAACCATCACAAAGTGGGAAGTCACAGAAAACAAGTTTCTAATCGAAAATCTAAATAAGCACGGTTTTTGATTAGAAGAAACAAAATTATTCGCACACAAAAGTTACAAAATCTAAGACGACAAGATTTTGAGCGTATTCAATTTTTCCTCAAGAGTTCCTGATTCACTGTGCATCAGTGCATCGAAGTAACAGAAGACAACCATCAGGCGCTGAGATATTTGCAGCTTGAACCAAAGGCCGCCAGATTCGAACCCGTGATTATCTTTTCCCAGACCTCATGTGTTACCCATTGCCACATCAAAGAAGGTTCTTGCTTTGGTTTCCTCTCAACCAGCCCGAAACCATGGATGTTTTGGGATAAAAGAGCTTAAGTGCACGTCCCTCCCAACGGTTAACCGCCTCATCATGGCTTGGAGGTGTTCCTGGGTGTCGCGCTGCGATGTATAGCAGGGAATTCGTCCCCCTGGCAGGACCTTCCAACCTGAGGACTCAGCTAAGACTAGAACAATACAAGGATCCACCACAGTCCTGGTACCAAACTAGTAGCATAGTGGCAAATCTCCACCTGATCCTCAACGGCGGCGACTGCCTGAAGTGGCGACGATGCGGGGCGGAGCTTGGCCTGACTGACATTAGGACTCCAGGAAACAACAATGACTAAACTAGCATAACTCCGAAAAAAGAGATCATGCTGGGGTCTCCACAACCAGTGAGGATGGACCATCCAAGTATCCAACTAAGTGCACGTCCTCGATTGTTGAGAAACTATCTACCAAATGGAAACCAATAAAGGAGTCCCTACATACTTACCGAAACGTTTCTGCTTATTTTAATACGATGTAAACAACAATGAAGGTATGGACATGACACAGTACACGACACAGCACAGCGCCTGTTCACGCCACAACCGAATTCCGATGGATTCAAATGAAATTTTTCCGCCATTCAAGCTGACGCGCTGCTGTTGGCTTCGTAGCAACCCGGTCAAACTTTAGGTGTCATACATTGTGTGTTCTGCAGGCGCGGGCTGCTACGCAGTGAAAGGAGACGGTGCGTGTGGGGCAGCACCATCTCACTTGGCCGAAAGATACTGGTCGCTTCTCCGCCTGCTGTTCTTCCCCTGGATCTGGATTAAGGTAGAGTTATGTTCACGTTAGGATGATCTATGAATATAGAGATATATCTATATCTCAGCATCGTAGTGGATCTATGGATAATTACTTCTATCTATAGGTATATGGACTGGGTATTGGTCGCTTTTCTATTTGTTTCTTTTTAGAATAACTTGCAATGGGAAAAGAAAAGGTCCACATCAACATTGTCGTCATCGGCCATGTTGATTCGGGAAAGTCAACAACAACAGGGCATCTCATCTACAAATGTGGTGGCATCGACAAGAGAACGATCGAGAAATTCGAGAAAGAAGCCCAAGAGGTATTGTCACATGTCTTCATTGGAAATCATTGTTGTGGGTTAGAAATACATTTTTATGGAAGTGTGGGATCGAGTTGTCGTTGTCTTCGGGGTGTTTCGCAATCGCTGTGGTGATTGTATTGATTAGTCATCCTTTTTTGCCAACCTTCCATGTCGCGTTTATTGTGCATTGCTTGTGGTCGTTACTGGACAACAAAAATAGCGCTGAAGAAGAGGAAGTTTTTCTATCACGTTGTAGTTTTAAGTGTGATGGGCTGTTCATATATGTGGTTCTAGTTTATCTGCTTCATGCCTTGTTTTCCCAACTACGGGCTTTCTAGTTCATTTTGCTATAAGGTGTTTATGTTCTTCACATAAGTGTTTTAATAGGATTAGCAGTTCCAAAATAATGTTTCCATTCAGATGGGTAAAGGATCTTTCAAGTACGCTTGGGTACTTGACAAGCTGAAGGCTGAACGTGAACGTGGTATAACCATCGATATTGCTCTTTGGAAATTTGAGACAGCCAAGTATTACATCACCATCATTGACGCTCCTGGCCATCGTGACTTTATTAAGAACATGATTACCGGTTAGCTACTGCTTTATAGTCATAGATTGGGTCTTCTGTAATATACTAGTTTTTAGGAACGTCACAGGCTGATTGTGCCGTGCTTGTAGTTGCTTGTGGCACAGGAGAGTTCGAGGCTGGTATCTCCAAGAACGGGCAAACCCGTGAGCACGCTCTACTGGCCCAAACTCTTGGTGTGAAGCAACTTATCGTGGCCTGTAACAAAATGGACTCGACGGAGCCGCCATTCTCGGAATCTCGCTTCAATGAAATCACAACTGAAGTTTCTAACTTTATTAAGAAGATCGGGTACAATCCCAAAGCTGTGGCTTTCGTACCAATATCCGGATTTAACGGAGACAACATGTTAGAGCCGTCACCAAATATGCCATGGTTCAAAGGATGGGCAGTTGAACGAAAAGAGGGTAACGTTACTGGGAAAACACTTTTAGAAGCTCTTGACTCTATTGTTCCTCCCCAGCGACCAACGGACAGACCTCTACGTCTTCCCCTTCAGGATGTATACAAGATTGGAGGTTAGTCATACGTGCATCTTATATGCTTTGCGTTTTATTGCTTCATCTTCAGGTATCGGTACTGTTCCCGTCGGACGTGTTGAGACCGGGATCCTTAAACCTGGTATGGTAGTCACTTTCGCGCCACAAAACGTAACTACTGAAGTGAAATCCGTTGAAATGCACCACGAGTCTCTGCCTGAGGCTGGTCCTGGAGACAATGTTGGCTTCAACGTGAAAAACGTCTCCGTGAAAGATATCCGTCGTGGTTCAGTTTGCTCGGACTCCAAGAACGATCCTGCCAAGGAGGCTCGTTCATTCAACGCCCAGGTCCGCGTTAGTTCACACAAGTTAGTCCATATTTATGGAACACATTTTCTTTCTAGGTTATCATAATGAATCACCCTGGGCAAATTGCTGCTGGCTACACTCCTGTTCTCGATTGTCACACCGCCCACATTGCTTGCAAGTTCGCGGAATTGAAGGAGAAGGTGGGCTAAAATTGATAGCGGAATGCCTTTTATTTTCATGTGGAACTTACAGGTTGACCGTCGTACTGGTAAGAAAGTTGAAGATAATCCGAAATTTCTCAAGTCTGGTGATGCCGGAATTGTTGAGCTCCACCCGACGAAGCCTCTATGCGTGGAGTCATTCACGGACTATGCCCCTCTTGGACGCTTCGCTGTACGTGATATGAGACAAACAGTAGCTGTCGGTGTCATTAAATCTGTTGACAAGTCGGAGGGAGCTGGAGGAAAAGTTACAAAGGCAGCACAGAAGGCAGGAGTTGGCAAGAAGAAGTAATTCATGTGATTGTTTGGTTTTTTGTTGTCCAATTCCATAAGGGTAAAGTTGTTGGATTGATCACGTTTTGTTCCGGAATAATATCTTTGAATTTTTTTTCCATGTTTAAGCCAGTGTTGTTCGAAAATGAATAGAAGATGAGTCTTTTTGTAGCCCGCTGAGTGTATATCAAGTAACGGTTTGATCGTGTGATTGGTGAAGGAACCGTGGTTATTCGTAAGGTGAGTTCCGATTGTAATAGGTTCCTTTCTTGTATTTGGAAGTACATCAACAGAATACATCGCTAGTGACTATCTGGAACGAGGGTTGATCTGGGATGTTTGGGTATAGCCTGGGCATATATGGTGTAGCAAGGAGCATAGGTGAAGTCTAGCGCATCGTAGCAGGTAACTTCACTGTTACGACCAAGGTTGGCCAACTGGAATAGTTCGCCATTTCAATACGCGAGCTCCACTAAATTTGGAGACATACTGTGGCCAAGCTGGGGAACATTTAAATGACATTATTTTCACCGGCAACGTTGAAGAATTGTTAACCATAAGGTTGATATGATTTATTAGTGTCTGTTGTGTTGTTCGATGATTAAGAGGGTTAGGTGTGATGGGTGTTCACAGTAGGTGGGAATATACTAGTTGATCAATCTTTGCAGAATGAAGGGTAGGATTCTTCCAGTGGTGAACGTAATACTGTAGCACGATGTGAACTTTCGATTGGGGGTCGCGAACACTCCGGAGCTAGGTGGTGTATGCGTAGGGTGGGAACTGATTTCCTTTGTATGGGGGCCATAACTGCATAGGTTGGCTAAACCAGATGGACGTTCAGCGCCAAAGACGCAGCGGTAAAAGTCGGCTAGCGTCTTCATTCAGTTACCTGTTGTCGATCAAACTAGAAATTTAAATAGGTGGATTGCTAGGGGTTATACTCAGTGAAATTTTTTTGTCCTCCCGTCTTGCGGATTAAAAGCAATCGAGTATAAAAGTAACTGTAGTAGAAATCAATTAAATTGTATTTTTTGTCTTCACAGTGATAAAGTAGCAGTAAACAAGGCGGTTTTCGGTCTATCTGGTCAATTTGGTGCGACTTTTTTCTTCTACGAATCATATGGGTAAGGTGTTACCTATATTGACACGTACGTTGGTATGTTGCCAGTAATAAAAAGTAATGCGAGTGTGGTGGAGGGAGTGAGAGTCAGATGAAGGATGTAGTTTTCAACGTTGATCAATTTTAAAAAAAATGCATTATGCATTCGATGTCGTCAAACCTGTTTAGAAGGGACTGAATATATTGGTGTATGGGATGCCTAAAATGGCTTATTCATCTAGTGAATAGGCTCTGCTGTGCATACGGACATGTGTGGTACTAGTTTGCCGACCTTGACGAGATTGAGTTGATGAGCCTGGGGCATAGGATCGAAGTAGGAACCACGTGTGCATCGCAGAATACCTCTAATGGTTGCGCTATACGTACTATACTGGAAAGTAGATATAATTCATAAATATAACATCAAAAGGCATTGTTATTGGCTATTCACTTTGCTTTTAATATATTTTGCAACTACTCATGTTGTACTTTCCGTTTCGTGTCTCTTGGTTATATCTTTCTGATATAAGTATTTCGAAGAAGAATACAGAGTTGGTATGAGTATTCTGAGTGTTTAATTCGCATGACCCTATCAACCTCGGCCTTGACCATATAATTCTGTATATTCCTGTTGAACCAGCACGAGGTATTACTTTATTCTGTATTAAGGTAAACCTGACGCTTCGACAGATTTCGCCTTCTTCAGAGCTTCTCATAGGTTCTCTGGAGAAGGTGAAATCCGCTGAAACGTCATCTATACCGCAACAAAATAATAAAATAACACCTCATGTTCGCTCAACAAGTTTTTTTATTTTATTTGATCTGTCTTCACGTCTACTTTGCGAATCCCAGCACTTTCACATTCGATTCCTTTCCTCGCATCCATCGTCCACGAAGGCCTTCCAAGCTTTTATGTGTAGCTTCGGTTGCTGCTTGAGGATTTCCATTTTCATCTTGAACGTTGTAGAATGCTGGTCGAGCAATTCTCCCTAGAGTTCTGAGATAGCAGGGATGGGACGTTCCCAATTGGACTGCAGAGTGGTTTTTTCCCAGACAAGTCCGGTACTAATTCCCCCACAACAGAGGGATGAGAAGCATGGTTGGTCCGAAGTAGAATCGAAATAGCACCATGTTCTTGATGACGGGCATCACCACCGCTATGCTATCCGCCGCTATCGACAAGAATATAGAGGATTGTTTGTGTTTAGTCTGAATACTTATCCCTAGGTAGGGTTTTGATTTTTTGCTCTTACTGTACTAATAGTCTGGAGGATTTCGTAACAATTTGGGCAACTTTACAAAAGTTGACACCAATGTCTAACAAACTATTGGTTCATGTCTCAAAATTTAAGAAATTCGTGTTCATGAACGTAATACTGATCTTGCTTAAATGTTTAGAAACACCACATCTAACCGTAGGGATGCTGAGATATGAATAAAACTCGGAACCTCAGCTTGGCGTCGAATCCGCTATTGTCCTTACCCGGCTTTACGCGCTATCCACAATGCCATCCGAGGTTCTTGATTTGTCTTTCTCTCAGCTAGTTTTTTTTTTTACCTTGACAGTGACATCAGCAATCATTCGTCAACGGAAATGATCGGAAGAGCACAAGGCAGCACTTAATTAACATGAAGCTGCAGTTGGAATCATAACTTTAACTTTTATTTACTACCTATTCTCTTTTTTCACCGTTGACGGGTGAGTGTTGATAGGGCCGTTAGAGTAAAAAAAATTTGCTAGGAGAAAGACAAAATAAGAGCTTCGGTTGGCGTGGTGAATATTACGTGAACTCTCGGAATGGTTAATTATAGGTTCGAAGCTCAATTGAAGTTCCGAGTTCTACCCACAATTCAGTATCTTTGTGGTTGTATTTCACACAACATCCTACAATAAGAAAGGAGAGTAGACAGCAAATAAAAGTTAAATGTTGTGAGACCACATGTAATTTCATAGTTTCAAATGTCCGAACATTTGCCGGCTAACAATTTGCGATCTACAATGCAAAATGTTGTCTCTCCTGTTTATACAATACCAGCATGCTTCTTTCCGTGATAGTGATATACCCTTCTCTAGCTATGACTCAACATAAAATAAAAGATTTGCTATAAAAGGACAGAAAGGATAATGCTCTCGGCGTTGATCAATTCCTGGGGGTGCGCCAAGCATTCGACTTCATTAAGCATCGTTTGAAGCGCTTGAATGCATATCTGGCCTTAACAATGACTCGCGGTGGCCTACTGATGTATCGAACTAGTGCTGCTACCTCTCCAGATAAGTCTGACCCAATTAGGCGACCCCGCAGGGATGAAGGGTTTGGTCAGCTTGGGGTGGTGGGATGGATCCCATGTGCATTACAGGGAGGGTTTGACCACTGCGCCATATGCGCCCTGTACGTGATATACATTAAATGTATGTACAATGATTTATTTTAATACAAGTGGTCATCAAATACTGCACTGATCTTATCATTTTCTTCATCCGACTCGTTCCCTCGTATCCGTTATCCTCGAAGATGTTCGGGATTACTTCTTTATTTGTGCGGCTTCCTTTGGATCTTTGTGCTTATAAATGTTTATAAGTGCTGCTCAAGTCGAATCTACCCGCGGGAGATCCGTTGCAGGGCGTATTCAGGTTTTCACCAGTTACAGTTGCCAGCCTTTGTGGAGCACTTCCCAGGCAAGTTTGGCACCAGTTTCCCAATCCTGACGGAAAAGAGAAATGTCTGAATCCGTGGTATAAGCAGGGCTTTACTCGTCATGAAGGTGTCTTCCCCACCATGCCATTTGGTCACTATAGGTTCTACTCTCATACCGACAGTATGCTCGAATTCTTAATTTCTTAGGAGCAAGAAACTTTTCCAATAGCAAGACCAGAGATGGAAAAAGAGAACCAAAAACGGTTCCAATGCAGGGTTCGGATATGGAAAAATGTCAGCAAATGTTTTTGTCGAATAACTGGTCATAAATTACTGTTCTCGGGTCTCCTTTATATAGGGGTCCCATTCCGGTAGGTCGCGAGGCAACGCGGCGCGTCCCTAGTTAGGATAAGGGTTGAACGCGCGCCGAAAACGGTGTTATGCTTGAGTGAGACGCAAAAGGATCCAGGTGTTAAACTCCTTGTTTCTGTTGCGTCGATTTGACAGTACCTTTGGTTATGAAAACATGCATGTGTGCGTTGGTGTGAATTCTCTTGTGCGAGCTACGAGTCAGTTCGGCCAAAAGTCTACATTTAGGTGACTCGAAAGTATATGGTAGGCGGTTACGTGTCGCCTCTAACAAATAAACTCGTCGTCTACTCTGAAAGAGACTGGCGACTCACCCTTGTGTATACCTAGTTCCTCCATTCAGAGCTCGGCAAACCACATGTGGGCGTTAAGTGCTAGCTTACTTTACTTGCCTGATACTTGAATACGTCCTCACTGGTTGTGCAGGCCCCAGCATAATCTCCATTTTTCGGAGGTTTGCTGGTTAGGCCACTGTGGTTCCCTGGGATCCCGAGGTCAGCCTGGCTAAAATCTACCCTAGATCTTCACCACCACAGGCAGTCGCATCTCTTGTGGGCCAGAGGGAGATTTACCACCATACAACCTTAATACCAGGACGGTGGTGAATCCTGGTATTTGCTTACTCTTAGCCAGGCTTCCTAATGGAAACGTCGGACACCTTCTTAGCTTGGGAGACCCTGCCAGGGAATGAATCCCTCGCTATACATCGCAGTCCATCATTCCCCTGACCCCGAAAGCCCTGCCGATACGACAGCGTTAGGTAGGACAAGTACGGAGAGGCTCCTGTAGTCTCAGGACCATTCTGGGCTGCTTAAATCTTGAAGGTTTAAGATGAAGACCTGTACCTACAATGCACGCACACTTGCATCGGAGTCCTCGTTAGAGGACCTAATCATGCATGCAAGAATGATGAGG